CAATATTTACCAAGTAAGAAAACTGGGAAAATTTAAAAAATTTAAAAATAATGAACCCAGTTTATTCATATAAATGACATTTTTAATGAAAAATAACTTTTTGAAAACAAACATGTAATAAAGGTAGTATTGTTTTCTATTTTTGCAAATCTCTTTAATGTCTCACTTAGTAGAACATAACTGGATTCTCACATCTGCTCTGTATTCAAACTGTTATCATTCACACATCATATACCCTCTGGAAAACTCAGCTCTATGCCTAAGTGAGAATAAGAGAAAAAGGCAAATAACATATTGTATTAATTTCCTTGGGGTGCCGTAACAAAGTACCACAAACCAGGTGGCTTAAAGAAACAGATATTTATTCTCTCACAGTTTAGAGGGAGAGAAGTCCAAAATCAAGGTGTCAGCAGGATTGGTTCCTTCTGGAGGAATAATCTGTTCTACGCATCTCTCCTCATTTCTGGTGGTTGCCAGGAATCCGTGGCATTCCTTGGCTTGTAGTGGCATCACTCCAACATCTACCTCTGTCTTCACAGGGCAGTCTTCCTCGTGTATTTCTCTGTGTGCCTCTCTCATTGGATTTAGGGGCTACCCTAATCCTGAATGACCTAATCTTAACTTGATTACATCTGTAAAGACTCTATTTACAAATAAGGTCACTCACAGGTTCTACTAGACATGAATTTTGGAGGGCCAAACCCAGTACAGCCTGCCCTCTGGTCCCTCAAAATTCATGTTCACCCCAGGTGCAAAATGAGTCCTCCGTCCCAATATTCCCCAAAGACTTAATCCATTCCTGCATTAACTCTAAAGTCTCATCTAAAGATCACCAACTCAAAAAGTCTCAAAGCTCATCATCTAAATGAGGTATGGGTGAGGCTCTGAGCATGAACTGTCCTGGCCTCCTTTCCATCTATAGACCTATGAAACTGAAAAACAAGTTACCAGCTTCCAGAATACAATGGTGGGACCACCACAGGATATGAATTCCCATGCCAAAAGGGAGAAGACGGAAGAAATAAAGGAGTCACTGGTCTACAGCAACTTTGCAACCCAGAAGAGCAAATTCCATTAGATTCCAAGGACTGAGAATCGGTGGCACCATCTGCCCTGTATGCCCATGGAGGCTCCACCAATCCCAGCCTCTAGGCCCTCAAAGACTCCACTGGCCCCACCCTCTGAGCCCTCAGCTTCGGCCCTCTGCAACAGTCCTACCCTCTGGGCAGCCCGTTTCCTGCTTACAGAATTCCAGAAATCTGACAGCCTTTCTTCATTTTGTACTCTCTCTCTCTCTCCTTCAGTCCAAGCTGTCAGTGTTTCTGCTGATACAACATTCTCATCCTCCCTAATCTAACCTCATCTTAACTAACTACATTTGTAAAGACTCTATTTCCAAATAAGGTCACATTCACAGAATCCAGGTGGACATGAATTTTCAGGGAACAGTAATCAACCCCAAACATATATCTTAATATTGTAGTTTTGGACTACACTCTGGGAACCACTAAATTAGGACATAGTTTATTTCAGTTCTCGGCAGCGACTTTCAGAAGTTAGCCCAAACTGAGAAGTGTACAGGCTGCATCTCTAGCTAGACAATTCTGAAAACTATGGAATAGCTCTCAAAGATTCATAATTCCTGTTGGCACCAATCTATCAAAAGTAATTCATGAATCTACCTAATAGATGAAATGTCTTAAATAATGTCTTTATGCCTCTTTGTGCATATTATTGCAGACTTAATGAGATTAAACAGATGCAGTAACAGTAGTAACTTTAAGCACTTCACAATAACTGTGTGGGTAGGTGCTATTCTACCCATTTTATAAATAAGGAAAAGGTTAGGTAATTTGCTGTATAGAAGCTGTATTAGTTATGTGTTGCTATATCATAAACCACCCCAAAACAGTGGCTTAAAACAATAAACATTTATGATCTCATAGCTTGAGTCAGGAATCAGGCACAGCTCAGTGGGGTCTTCTGGCTCAACTGGGGATGAATCTGCTTTCAAGCTCACTCAAGCAGCAGTCAGCAGGATTCGGTTTCTTGCAGGCTGTTAGACTGCGGGCCATGGCTCCTCACTGGCTATTGTCTGGAGACTGCCACTCGGTTCCTCACCATGTAGGCCTCGCTTTAGGGAATCTCACAACATGGCAGCTTGGTTCATCAGAACAAGCAAGCAAGCATGAAGAGCCAGAGTGTGAACAAGGTAGAATTCAGTGCTTTATAACGTAATCTTGGAAGAGACAGCCCATTACATTTGCTGTATTCTGTTCACTAGAAGCCAGTCACTAGGTCCGACCCCATACTCAAGGGGAAGGGATACACAAGGGCAACACTGTTAGGCCCTATATAAGAGTTGGACTCAGTGACTGTTACACAATGTGTACTATGTTCTAAAAACATACCACGGCTGCTTGGATCCCAAAAACCTCAGAAATAAAGAGAAAGGACTTGAATATATGGTGATACTACCTTTAAGAACCTTAGCCCCATCTCAAACTTAGGATCCTAAATTATGAGGAATGGGGGTAGATTGCAGATGGTACCTGTAAGCCCATGTGGTTTCTTCATTAAGCTTCTGCTCACAGCCTCCCTCTCTTTCTGAAGACTAACCTGGCCTGAAAAGGCTGCATTGAGCAGGCTCATCATTTACAGTTGATAAGTGAATAGAGTCCTATATATAGTCCTGTACCTACCAACAGATACCATTGCTTTCCTGGGCACTGTCCTAGATCTGTGCTAGAGATTTGCTAGATTTCTTTAGAATGAGATATGATTTATGACATTTGCCATTGAGAAACAATTTAATGCCAAATATACAAAGCACCTAGCTTCCAGCCAGTGAATTTCAAAATTGTTAAGCATATTTTCTCTAAGTGGATGGATATATACATTTAAAAAAATAAGCCTAAATGTTTTACTCCCAATAAACAATTCAAGAGCCTTTTTTTTTTAAATGGAGTCTCGCTCTGTTGCCCAGACTGGAGTGCCATGACACAATCTCAGCTCACTGCAATCTCAAAAGGCTTTTCTTTATGGTACTACAGAATTCCTACAGGTAACTTACTTCACAATATGCAAGAGATATTAGTCATTAAATAGTTTTTATATTAAGGATTATATACAGCCAATGGCTAAGGCAATGAATACTGACTTAATGACTAGAAATGTGCTTGGCCTAAAATTTACTTTATAATGCACCTGTTGACCTTAAACTTTTAGGGTTAAAGAGTTTCAAGTATTTTGACCAAAAGTTGTAACTTAGCTAGGTTCTGTACATGTCACTTTATCATAAAAGTTCCCCTTCTCTTTGATTTGCATAACACTTAGCAGACAGAAACATCTTTACATTCCCTAGCACTATCAGGCTTTTGAATTATAAATGGTGGCAAAGCTATGGGAAAACAGCAACTTTTAACATAAGAGGAATTGTTAATGATGTATACATCTAGAATGCCCTCCTGGAACTTGTTTTGGTTTGGAAACCATCAAAAATGTTACTAGAAAGTGACATTTATGTTCTGATGAGCAACTCTAAGAAGAACATTGATTCAACCTCTGTTCTCATAAAAATTAAATTATTTTTCAAGAATTAACTCCTCTCCCTGGTGGCAGAAATAGCTGCCTAAACAACACTGACTCCTTGGAAAGCACCTAGAACGCATTATCCTGCCTGCCTATTCTCTTGCCTTTCATAGTTACGCCTTCAGAAACTCTATGCCAAAATTCACTTATTTATTCTGCCCGACAAATAACACCACTGCATTCCTTACTTCCCTTCAGTGACTGTGTTATGCTCAAGAACATTAAGACTTGTGGTTTGGGACACAAATCACCAAGCCACAAGAACTGCAGCTCTGAGCCTGAAAAGAAAATGGTGGCCCCACAACACAGTAACTTGGCTGAAATGACCAAATTCACAGACAGATAGAAACCATTGTTTTAAGTCTTTGGGATTAATAACAACAAAAAGGATAAAAAGCAAAACTGTCTGAAGAAGTTACGGAACATCTAAACAGGCCTATAACAAGGAGTATGATTTAGTCATTTATAAACTTCCCCAAAAGAAAAGCCCAGACCCACAGGTATCTGTTAATATCTTTTCCTAGAACATTCCTACTTCCCCAAATCCTTAACATTAAGATATACAGTAGACAATTCATTGAAAAACATGGGTTTGAACCACATGGCTCCACTTTTGTACAGATTTCTTTTACTATTATTATTTTGGAGATGGAGTCTCACTGTGTTGCCCAGGCTGGAGTAATGGTGGCACAGTCTTGGCTAACTGCAATCTCCGCCTGCTGGGTTCAAGCGATTCTCCTGCCTCAGCCTCCTGAGTAGCTGGGATTACAAGTGCCTGCCAACACGCCCGGCTAGTTTTTTGTATTTTTAGTAGAGATGGGGTTTCACCATGTTGGCCAGGCTGGTCTTGAACTCCTGACCACATGATCCGCCCACCTCCCAAAGTGCTGGGATTACAGGTGTGAGCCATTGCACCCAGCCCAGATTTTTTTCAATAAATATATTGGAAAAATTTTTGGAGATTTGAAATAATGAGAAAAGTTTCAGATGAAAAAAATTAGGAAAAAAGCAGTTATATCATGAATGCATAAAATATATGTAGATACTAGAATATTTTATCATTTACTGCCATAAAATACAGGCAAATCTATTATTTTATCAAAATTAACACATACAAATACAGATCATACATGGTACAATTCACAGTTTTGAGAGAAACGTAAAAAAAATGTAAAGATGCAGCATTAAATCACAGCTGCATAAAATGAACTGTAATGCACAGTATATTAGTGAAATAATTTCACAGCCACCTCCTGTTGCTACTGCAGTGAGCTCAAGTGTTGTGAGTATGCACTTCAAATGCTGTGTGACACTAATCACCGGTGCATGAACAATTCATCACCCCAGTCAACTGCATATCACAATGCTCCCAAAAATCAGAGAAAAGTGATGACATTACAAGAAAAAGCTGATTGCTTGATAGGTATCATGTTGAGGTCTGCAGCTATGGTTGCCTGCCACTCCAGACAGACAATTCATTTTATAAACAGATGATATACACTTATAGTATGGATAAATACAGTAAATGTATTTTCTCTTATGATTTTCTAAGTAACATTTTCTTTTAAGAATACAGTATACAATATATATATAATACATCAGTAAGGCTCCCAGTCAGTAACAGGCTACTACTAATTAAGACTTCGGGGAATCACAAGTTATATGCAGATTTTTGACTGTGCGAGGGGCGGGTCAGCACCCCATCACCTGCATTGTTCAAGCGTCAACTATATATGTACCTACACACACACACACACACACACACACACACACGTGTATTAATTCCTCAGAAGCCCAGCCAAGCATCTTAGCTTGGCTACTTTTTAATTAGAAACAATTATTTTATTCAGAAAAGTATAAACAGTTATCAATTAGAATCTTCTTATATACAAATATAACTTGCAGAAAGTTAAGTCTGAGGAGGCTATTCTGGGTACTTTTTACAGTCCTTTTTAGTTCTAAGAGTCCATGATACTGCATTTTTATGGCCAGAGAGCAATCAATTATGCACCTGGTTGTCTCAATAGGCAGTAAAACCTAATATAAATAAATGGCAAATTATCTGCCATAAAAAAATAAGAAAAATTTTTGAAATGTTAATTTCAACTCCAATGAAACATATACCTAATTAAAACAATTATTTATTCCCTGCTAGAATATAAAGGGAACAACAAGCTTGAGCTGCAAGGCTCAAGCTTTGAGAGCACAGAAAGATTTTTAAACTAATCATGCATTTTAAGTCCAAGAAATGGAGCCAGCCCATAATCTCATGTTGGAATTCCCCCAGGCAAAGTTGGGAACCACATCCTGACATCGTCTGCAATGTGATCTTCTGTTATTTGGTATTTTTAAGATGACGCCAACTCTTCTGTGCTTAGTTTAGGAGTCCTTTTAAGGAAAAAGTTAAAAAAAAAACCCACCACATTTCACTTCTAAGTCAATGTTAGAATCAGCTTCTCCCTCTTTTTCCTCTTCCTCTTCTTCTCTTCCAAGTGGCTAGTAGCATCAGCAAAAAACATAACTTCACTTTTTGCCTCGCATTCCCTCTTGAGATAATCAAGACCAGCCATATTGAAGCCGATAACATCCTGGAGTGCAATACAAGAAATATTAAACATTTTTCTCCCACTTCAGTTCATCACAGCAGCGTATGAGAGTTAGGGGAACCAAAGCTTCAGGTGTTGTTACTTATCTTTCCCTCATTAAGAACTTTTCTTGTTTGTTTTTTCTATTCCTACTAATTCCAATGAAAACTATCTCAAATATGAATTTATCGGTGGTAGGTACTGCTAAAGACAAAGCACAGCAAGACTATACTACTTCTTTTTTTTTTTTTTTTTTTTTTTTTTTTTTGAGACGGAGTCTCGCTCCGTTGTCCAGGCTGGAGTGCAGTGGCCGGATCTCAGCTCACTGCAAGCTCTGCCTCCCGAGTTTATGCCATTCTCCTGCCTCAGCCTCCCGTGTAGCTGGGACTACAGGCGCCCGCCACCTGACCCAGCTAGTTTTTTGTATTTTTTAGTAGAGACGGGGTTTCACCATGTTAGCCAGGATGGTCTCGATCTCCTGACCTCGTGATCCGCCCATCTCGGCCTCCCAAAGTGCTGGGATTACAGGCTTGAGCCACCGCGCCCGGCCAGCAATACTATACTACTTCTAAATCACACTAGGAATTTGCCTCATTATTTTATCTCTATACAAAGACACTTACCCGGACTTGGCTGACTTTTGAAATAGTTGTTTCCCTTAATTTTTCTATCACTGGCACAAGCATTTGATTGCTAGTGATCTGTCCAAAGTGAATCCTAATAGAAAAACAAAACACAGTCATGTTGAACCTAACATGGCTAGACACAGTAAACAGATAAAATATCAAAGCAACAACAAAATATACATTATAGAAATGTTTCGAGCAAAAAAAAAAGCCAAAGAAATTTCTTTCTCTACTATTCAGGTCAATTTGATGATAACTTAAAAAATACTGTCCTAAACCTTATGACACATTCAACTCATTTGCAAAGGCTCTTTTCCCAGCCCAGCAACTTGCCAGTGGCTACAGATTTTGAGTGGTACTTTATGGAAAACTCAAAGACAGAATGAGCCTTCTAAGAAATGCTAACTCAAAAAAGTTGCATTAATACTTCTAATAAAGCCATAGCAAAAAAGAGAGACATTCATGAGAGATTCAAACTCTGACCCAGAGTACCGAGATATCCTTGATGACCCTGCTGTACCTGTCAGGTAGCACCCATCTATAATCCTCTGATACGCTATATGTATTCAGGGTTTCTTGTAGAACCAGCGACCCTAATTCAATAGCACATATGCCATAGCAGTAAAAGAAATTATTAGTAATATGGTTAAATATGAAGTTATGTCTTTACAACTTGCCCCAAATTATGAATATGGCAACAAAACATACTCTTCTTCTTTTCTTGCTACTATCCTGGATAGAGTATAAGAAATGGAGGGTTAAGAATCATAAAACCAGGCCAATTCATCAAATACCTATTTGGTCAATTCACTAAATATACCTGTTTAACTATCTGGCACTGGCTGACCAGTTTTTGTCTTCATAACAGTATTTGAAGGAATATTCAATTTGTCTCCATCTCTGTTCTCTGCTGTAACAGCTTGAGAATGAGGGTGAGAGATGAGTAGAATATCAAGTCTTTGTACATCTATTCTTCTCAACTACCTATTAACAGAATTCTTCATATTTAAGAATACAACCTAATGAACATATTTGCTTTATGTTTCTTAGTTTACCTCTATATATGCCCCTACATTTCCATTTGCACCTGTAGAGACCAAGATAAATAAACTGACTTCCTTAAAATGTTGGTATAAGGACAAAGCAAAACCTGTTAGCTTACACTAAACACTTTAAAACAGGAATGTCCACCCTTTTGGCTCCCCTGGGCCACATTGGAATAATTGTCTCGGGCCACACATAAAATACACTAATGATAGCTGATGAACAACAACAACAAAGAAATCATAAAAAAATCATAATGTTTTAATAAAGTTTACAAATTTGCATTGGGCCACATTCAAAGCCGTACTGGGCCACATGTGGCCTGCGGGCCACAGGTTAGACAAGCTTGGCTTCAAATAAACAACAAATGAGGCAAATTGGCCAATCGTAATTGGCTTTTGCTAAACTGACTAGAACCAAAGCTATCTTAGATTGTAACACAGAGGCCTATGACTGAGTAAGGATTCCTGAGCAATGTATTACCATGACTTCTTACTTAAAGAGATGGGTCATCATGATCCTTGTTTTAAAGGCAAGACTGATTGCTTAGGCTGGTAGCAAACTCCTAGGCTCCACCCACCTCGGCCTCCCAAAGTGCTGGGATTACAAGGGTGAGCCACCGAGTTTGGCATACTATTTCTTAATCCCCAAGTGTTGACAGCTTCAGTTAAGGTACTACTGAAGCAGTTCTGCTGAAAAGACATGGTATTCTTTGGAAAAGGATGTTACCTGAGGAGGAAGAAGAGGCACCTGCATATAAGTTCAACATCAGAGCCCAGCTGAATGAATTCGTTAAAGAGTTTAAGAATGTCTGGGACATAAGAAAAAGGCAGCACAAGTAGAGATTCTTCCAGTTCACTGAAAAAGAAAAAATAGATATAAAAATGCCGCATTTGTTAACATTGTTAAAATGGTCAATTTTTAAATCTTTCCCTTTATTACTTTTTCTACTGATTTTATACTTGAATACACCTTGTGTAGAGTTAAATATTCATCTATAAGCTAGATGACTCCCTTTGTTTTTTGTATTTAACATCTTAATCTATTTGGAATGCATTTTGGTCAATGGCATGATGGGAAAATCTAACTTTTTCCCTCCAGATAAACAATTTCTCCAAAGCCTTTTGTTGAATATTCCATCTTCATATGATATTCTTTTACCATATATTGAGTCCATTAGAGTCTATTATGATGACTTATCCTGGCATGATGATTGATCCTGATACCAATCCTACACTATTTTAATTTTGCTAATTTTGTAGCCTTTTAATCTGGGAAAATAGTTCCCTCTAGAACTAGCTCAAGTATTATTTCATCAATTCCAATTTAAAATCTTAAGAGGATATCAAATGGGATTACAAACCTATTAATTAGGAAACATTAAATCTTTAAAACACAGAATCTTCCTATCTTCAAATGTATCATAACCTCCACATTAATCAATTTTCTTTTACATTCCTGTAGTGAAGTTTCATCTTTATCCTAAGACAGGTGTTATTTCTTGTAAAGAATATATATGTAAAAAAAAAAAGAATATATATGTAGATATTGTGGTTCATTATGAAAATGATAGCCTTCAGTAGTTCAAACTCATGAATGAAATCAAAAGGAAAATCACCAATAATATAACAATTATTGCAAAAATGTATGACAAAGAAAATAAAGTATGGTGCCCAGGCTGGTCTCAAACTTCTGGTCTCAAGCGTCCTAAAATGTTGAGATTACAGACATCAGCCACTGTGCCCAGCCAGAGTTCTTTAAAAAACAGTAAAATAATACTTAAGAGCAAAAAGAGATAACTAAAAATTCACAAGAAAAAATACAAATGGTCAACAAATACGCTGAAATTTTAACTTCATTAATAGTCAAAAGAAATGAAAATAAACAATATTAACTTTTGCCTCTCACACTGGCAACAAATTTTTTAAAGCCTACTAAAAATCAGTATAATCACCCTGGAAAGTAATTTGGCAATATAAAAAAGCTCGTGCCTACTGGTCAGTTATTAGGCTGCTAGGACTCTTAAGAAAAATAATCAATAATGATGACAAAGATATATGTGTAAACATATTCAGTGAAGCCACTGATAATAGCCAAAAAGGAGAAACAAATGCAATATCCAGTAATTATTCATACAATGGAATAATTCTGAATCCAATGAATTTTTTTTTTAACAATATGAACAAACAAATGTTCAGGAAATATGTGAAAAAGAACAGAATATAAAACTTTATATATTATTCCAATTGTGTATGTACATAGAAAAGAAGCCAAAATATAAAAAAAAATTAACAGTTGGTGCTTCTAATTGAATTATATATTATTTCATTGCCTACAACATAAATCACTCCCTTTTATTTGTCCTTAAAAGCATCTCTCTTCATACTTTAGAAGGAACTTCCTAGTTCTAGCACTTGAAAAAGAACATTATAAATTATTTCCCATCAAAACTTATATATAGTTAAACCTATAAGAAAGATAACCATCAATTATAATTTCTATTTATTTCCCATTCAGATAAGCATTTCATAAATGCTGACAGATTATAAAAATTGTGCACAAGGACTCACTCACCTTGACCTGATGCCTTTAAAAATCTCTAATACATAAGCTGAAGGCTATAAAGGAAGGATTAACACCATTAGTGAGACTCTTGGTTGGTTTCTACTAAAGTTCTCTAATTTCTATCTCCTATAAAACAGGAACCCCTCTTTCTTATTTCAGAAAAAGTATTCTAAAATGGTAAGATCTGCATGAGTTTAGAGTAAGCCAGATCTCGGTTCACAATCAAACTATGTCCCTTACCAACTATGCTACAAGTCAAGCCAGATTCCTTATCTATAAGGTGAAGATACCCTGACTCACAAAATTACTGTGATGAGACATGCAAGTAAAATACTAATTAGAGATTACTAGATAAACATACATTCTCCCATTATTCTTCCCCTCTCTCTTCTTTATCTCATCAGACTGGTTTCTGTCAACTTTCCCTCTGAAGGCTGATTCGAAAGTTAATTTAGATGAACAGAATCTTCACAGGGCTTTGGACACTAAACATAAACAAGCACTAGAAAATAGAAGAATGCCAGTCTAGTCCAATCAAAAAGGCTGGCTTGGGAAGTTACACTAAAGTGGTGCTTTTGAAATACAAAATATCTTAGAGAATGCCAAGATTCAAAAGAGACTTTTAAAGACAAAGTATTCCCAGTAATCTATCCCCAAATCATAATGCCTCTACTTCCTTTCTCGTCCTTGTAAGTAACTTTGAATAACCAAGGGGAAACCATTAGACATTTTACTTACTGAGATACTGCCATAAGCCATTAGGATGGGGTTGGTGGGAAGTGGAACCTATGAAGAAATTATTAAATCAAGTCATTAAAAAAACTGAGACTTGTATAGCATTTGTTATAGACAGAGTGGTAACAGTATTTTATAATTTTGAAAAGAGAAAAAAGAGACCCTAAAAAACTGACAGAGTGTAAAAGAATTATCAAGCCTGTTAGTTTCTATAGTATTCATGAATGAGCTGGAACAATGTATTTTATCTAGAAATCTGAAATGGTTACCCTGCCTCCCAAACCAAAGTAGGAACGTGAGTTTCTACTCAAGACAGTAATCACCTCAATCTGTAATTTCCTTTCCTTCGCTTTCACTAAGACCAAGTGCCCTTCTTCCCACAGTTCCTCAATTTCTTCTAATGTAGTGAGTTGGAAAGATTCTACTCCATTTATTGCATATCCTGATCTTAGCTAATAAATCCCAAAACAATGGTTTTTCTCCTTGGGAAATCCCTTTATTGATACTGTAACTTACTATACTCTCTTATTACCTCTTTCCCTGCAGCTTTACAAATGGCTGTGTGTTCCTTCATTTTTGCAGTTTCTTCTCGGTACAACTCAATAGCCTCCATAATCCTCTCAGCCTACAGATGATGACAAAGGAAAGAAATCATCACAACACACTCCATCATCCCAGGACACTGAAACTGGAAGAGCTGACTAGAAATTTGCCAAATGAAATAGCTTCAATCCGTTTAATAAAGATGTGCCAATAGAGTGCCAAAAAGCGTTTAAAGACATTTTTGGTTTTCTTATTTTTTAATGTACAGGGAGAAGACTAAGTGTCGTGGACTCAGGTGGGATGATACCTAGACACTCTGAATAGGGCAGGTCCCAGGAACACCTGAAAGGAGCACATACTGATCAAAGAGATTCAGGACTACTCCCATCTTTGGTTACAAGAGAAGAAAACAGGTTATAATCCCCATCTTTAAATCTCATGAACTTTTTGCCAAAAAATGGCTTTCGGGTTGATACAGAATAAAACTTTCACTAAAAAGTTGAGATCTTATTAAAAAACGAGAAACCACATTCTATATCAACTTACTGCTTTCACTGTTTCGATAGTTTTTTTTCCAGTAAAGTAACTGTCGCCTTGAGTCTCTCCTGGAACCTGCCAGAAACAAAGAAATCTTTGAACAACACTGTTGACCAGAGTTAAAGAGCTGATAAATTAATCTTACATCCATATAAGAACAGCTATTATTATTTTATGAAAATACTAACAGTGTTACCAGCTACCAGTAACAGTACTTAGCATATGTATTATCATAAGAATATCTTGCACATGTTTAAAAAGAGAATATCCAAATTTTCTAATGTTTATTTTTGCTCTACAGTGAATAAAATAATTCCCTAAAGCCTCAATTGCCAGAATGATAATTATTCAATAGCAAATTTGGTCAATCACTTGAACCACAAAATTGGGATATACAGCTGAAGAGAAAGAATCACACAGATTCTTTATCGGCTGGTGATACCTTCAACTTCTAGCCTCAATTTTATTCCTATTAGAAATTCTGGACATTATAGTCAATTTCAATAAGATAACTATATATGGGGCATAATCTCAAGGTCCCCCAAATTTACTTACTGCTGGTTGGTCTTCTTTGGCCACACTCTCCTCATATTCTGCTTCTCTTTCCTGCCATGAGATAGATATACATTAATTTGAGAGGAAAAAACATGGTCTCTATATAAAGAGAAATGAGGCAGCAAGACGGTGCTTCTTTGACAACATAATCCCCCTAATGGCATCTTTATCTCTGCCTAGCTTCTGAAATGGGTGACAATGGTCTTGAACAGATCTCCTGAAGGTTCTTGGACTTGTAATGAATGAGGTATAACTGCACTACACAGAAAACTTCAACTAGGACAGCCTGTCAGATACCCACTGGCATATTTGTAACCAAGCCTAAAGTTCTTACCATTTCCCTTTCTTCCTCAAGAATAAGAGGCTCCCTTGTTCTCTCCCAAAGTCTCAGAGATTTGTCATGGGACGATGATACAACATAGTCTCCACTGGGGCTTACAGCCAAACACCATATTTCCTGGTGATGCCCCTGGAGGGGGAAAAAAAAAAACAAACAACAACAACAACAAAAAAACACCTCAAGAATATCTCATTCATAGACCACTCTTAGTGGGTAATGTAAATATTCTTAAAAGTATTTTTTAAGTACTGAGCAAGCAAAGCAGGCATGTGGTTACCTCCAGAGTCTGTATGTGTTCAAATTTGTCTGCATCCCACTGTTTAATCTTATGGTCTTTTCCAGCAGTGAAGAAGAGGTGAGACTTGGGTACAAACTGTAGGTACATCACACTGAAAAATGACAGAAATATTAAAATGTCAACAAATTCCAGGTTAGTAAAAAGAGTTTTACACACATAAATAGCTTTTGACTAGCTAGTTCTAGACTGTCTAACTGTATTTTAGAACTTATATCACTGCCTGAGAACACTGAAAAATAGATGCAGATGCTCAAGGAAAGTGATACTTACAGATAACTCAAAGGGAGGCATCTGAAAAGACTATATGTACCTGTCATCATGCGCAAAGAGAGACTTGTGGCAGTCCCCGAAGTCCAAACCCCAGATTTTCACATTCCTATCAGCGGAGCCAGTTGCTATAAGTGCTCCATCCTATGGCAAATAAAAGTAAAATATTACCTTGATTTTTGAATTCTGTATATGAATAAAAAGGTAACCAGAATATTTAACCCATTTCTTTCAAACACATTAAAATGAAGCCAAAAAACTGATTTCATCTCTACTAAAAACACTGAATTCTTTGCTCTTACCTACAGAGATACTTAAAAAGCTTGTTAAGTAAAAGCATGAACACTGTGGCTTACATACTTTCATACTGCCACAGGGCAGTGCTATGCCTTGATGTAGGGTTATCTATTTACTTTTTTAGATAGGAAAAAGATTCTCTAATCTCTGGCAGGGGATTTGGAAAGAAAGTGGGAGAGAGAAACAGAAGAGAAGCCGAGAAAGCCTCTATTAGAATGTTTATGTATCCCACGTTCCCTATCACTATTTCTCTTATCTCTCCTATTTCAATGCCTGGTTCAAATGGTTGTCAATATAAAAAAAAAAAGAAAGAAAGAAATATATTTAACACTGTAACTTAACATTGTTAGTACATGATCACAGACAGCTATGAGGTCAACTCCTTTCACACAGAATAGACATTATTTTTTTGAGATGGAGTCTCGCTCTGCAGAATAGACATTTTTCTTAATATACATTGCCACTTCTAATCAAAACTAGATATTGGGAAATAAATGATTTTGGTCAAGAGACCAAAAGTTTACATAGTGTAAAATACCATAACTATCCAAATATAAATCCAAGCTCCTCAGCAGCATTATCCTTCAGAACAAAACGGAATGCCTTTTTAAAAGTCTTTCATATTTTAGTGTACTCTACCAATTATAGTATTTTAAACAACAAAGTAATATTTGGGAGAGCTACAAGAAGGATAGAGATAATATTTGCAAAATTATTCTGAAAACATTAAAGTAATATATATAAGACACAATATATATTAATTTGAGACTGTTTTTAAAGAAAGAATGATGATAAAAACAAATAATCTAAAATGAAGATATCAAGCCAGAATTAAGAAAGTATCTGCTTCAGAAAAGACAACTATTACTGAGACACTATTTGAACTTTACTTACATAAGAGATGTCCATGCATATAACAGGTAGTTTGTGTCCATACAGTGAGAGAAAAAACTAAACATTAAAAAAAATAATAATTAATGTCTGTCTATAAAATATGGGTATAATTTATAACATGTAGGTCTAAAATATAACTTTAAACACATTTTTAAATTGCTTTATATTTGTATTTTCAAAGACAACCCACAAAAGACAGCTTTGTAGGAGTACCTGTGTCCACTACACAGATCCTCCATGCACTTGCCAAAAATACTGCAGTATAGTGGAGGCAAGGAGGCCCCCAGAAGCTTACTGCCTCAGTCAGATCTCTGGATCTCTTCACTGAAAAGATTCCAGGGCACTTGTTTCACAAAAAAATTCCCAGGCCCAACCTGGTCCTCTCAACTCTCTGGGTATAGGGCTCAGTAATCTGTATTTTTAAAAGCAATCTAGATGATCCTAATACATAGCCAAGTGTGAAATCACTGCCCAGGACACCTAGCAATGCTCTATGACTACTTAGTATGACAGAATTTTCTGTCCACAAGATTTTTTGAACACATGAAATATAACTTGCTTTAAACAAAATTCATGAACGATAGAATTATTTTAAAATGCTAGCTTCCCTAGTATACTTACATTGCTTTGATTCACACACACATTTTTAGAAATGTACTACTGCTGGGCACAGTCAAGGCCACTTCTTTATAGCCTCAACCCAAATTCTTAAGGTCAGTGAGTCAGAAAGGGAAAATATCCCCGGGCATAACCACTCTACCTTTAAAGTATCAACATAGAAAATTTTCACAGTACAGTCCAGCAAAGACACAGCCAATAGCTTTTGATTGGGAGAGTAACTGACACACAGAACATCTTCATCTAGTTGCAAGGTTCGGGTTTGCTTCACAGAAAGTCTAGCACCACAAAAAACATCAAGAAAAAAATAAATGAGTATACAAATTCAGAAAAATCCTAACTCTTTAGAGCACAACAAACGATACAATATGTCAAAAGGCCATTCAATAGCTCCCAATTTTCACTCCAAAAAATGGGTACAAAAAAATATCTACTCACCTCTTTTGGGTACTATTTTCATCTTTCACTAACTCAAAATCCCAGAATTTGACAGATTTATCTGCACCACCTGTCACAAAGCCACGCTGAAAATCAAATGAAATTTCAATTAAAAACTACTTTAGCATAAAAACTTTGCTATGAAGATACATTTTAAAAGTCTAAGAAAGTATTTTCATTTAATGTCCTGGGATAAAAATTAAGAAAAATGTGGTTCTCCCTAGCTCCTTTCACTGCTCTTTTGGGTCTGCTGCCACAAACCTTATGTGAAAATTCCTACCATCGACTAACATAGACAGAAATAATAATAACTTATGAAAAGTTCTAGTTATACTATTATCTAGCATCAAGAAGAAAAAAAAAACTCTCAGTAAACTAGTTTGAAAAATATACATAGAATGGAAAATCTACGTTCGTTTAAAGTATTCGCCTCAGAAGGATATAAATTTAGTCTGCAATGTCCCTGCTTAAAATATGTTGGAAGCTGTTTTCCATTATCAAGAAAATTAGTCTCGTTACATGGTAGTGTTAAAGTACATAGAACACTGGATCTCAAGTGTCTGTTCTGCCACCTCATAGATTTATAACACAAGGAACAACCTTTCCGTAATCCCTAGTTTTGTTGAAAAAAAGACCACACAGTTTATGGAAAAGATAGAACACTCTACAAATGCAAGATTTATTACTATTTTAGACTCACGGCTGTTTTGTTTGGACCCCAAGTGGTATTAAACACTCTAAACTTCAGAGATTTTTTTCCAAAACTAAGATCTACTTTCAATGGATGAAAATTTTCTACCATTGAGAATATTTAAATAAATGGGCAAAATTTCTTAAGGTGTTGTCAAAAATAAAAATCTCAAGATTTTCTTTTTTTTTGAGACGGAGTCTCGCTGTGTCTCCCAGGCTGGAGTGCAGTGGCGTGATCTCGGCTCACTGCAAACTCCGCCTCCCGGGTTCACGCCATTCTCCCGCCTCAGCCTCCCAGTAGCTGAGACTACAGGCGCCCGCAACCACGCCCGGCTAGTTTTTTGTATTTTTAGTAGAGACGGGGTTTCACCATGTTAGCCAGGATAGTCTCGATCTCCTGACCTCGTGATCCACCCGCCTCGGCCTCCCAAAGTGCTGGGATTACAGGCTTGAGCCACCGCGCCCGGCCTAAAAATCTCAAGATTTTCTAAGCAACAGCCCCATTACTAGAATAAGCATACTTTTGCCAGGAACTGCTCTGAAGGTGAGCACATATTTATTGACTTGTAAGGGCTAACGTACTTGCTAAAATTACTAAATTTGTACAGTCATAGATGTTTGTTTGGGAAAAAAAAGGAGCAGCAAAGTCTACTCAGTTCTCTGCATCATGTTGCCCAAGAGAATATTTCCCCTTAAGAAGTATTACAAAACACTGGCAAAAAAAATCACGAGGGTGAGCGATTGATGTCATGTTGCTGATAAGCAAAAGTAGCCAAACAAGATTTCATTTCATAATGACAGCTAGTCATTTACCAGGTATATAAGAAGGCATCATGTATGAACACTAAAGATTAGACCAAAAAAAAAAACAAAAAACAAAAAACAAAACTCAGGCTTTCTTTAAAGAAACCCTGAGAGAAATCTTTCTTAGCAGCAGTAAATCTTGATATAAGAATTGAGAACTGTGGCCAGAGGGCTGAAGTCCAGGGCTTTAAAATCTGGTTTAGTTACCTGATCTGGAGAGAGGGACATGGACCATAAAGCTCCATCATGTGCATCTATTGTCTCCAGCAGATTCCCCGAGGCCAAGTCATAAAGCTGCAGCTTCCCTGTCTGGGAAGACACAAAATGAGCACAGCTCCAGTGAACATACTTACAACCTCCATGATTCATGCCTGCACAATTTAGAAAAGACTTCATAACCAAGCTGCAAAAATGTGATCCATTGCTTAGGAAATGGATTCCACATTCCATGTTCTATATTTCCTATTTGATTAAATACTATTAAATCCCCTACTGATGTGCTGAGTTAACCTTGGCAGGGCTGCCATGTGTATAAGTATGGAATAATACCACTGTGCAGTACTGGACGCATTACTTTCATTGGTTCCACAACTTCAAAAGGAAAATATCATGACCACAGGCAAATCAGAATAAACAAAATAGCAAATGCAAACCTAAAAGCCTTTAAAGTTTAGCCAGTCCTTTAAATGGATGATCCTCTACAGTTATTGGCTTAACCAACTCTTTTCCACCTGCTTTTCGTTTCCTCCTCTGCAATACATTGACAATAAGAAATGGGATCTACCTACAACACTGAAGAAGGCAATGAATTTTTAAAAATATCTTAATGGCATGAAAGCAATCACTTTAAAATTCCTATTTAGAGGTCTGTATATGCCATAGTCATGGTGTCGGCATGTATGCTAACACACACACAGAGGCAAAGCCTGCTCTACAATGAGCTTCTTCTACACAATGTGGTACAGACAGCATAAGCGTTTCCATGTCTGCTTATTTCCACGTGGCTGTCTCCCAATCTGACTAGCACCTAGGAATGAGGACTTGATCAGTTTGTCTTTACTGAATGCTTCTGTCTGCCAAGCATGATATTAGGTACATAATAATTATTACCCTTAATATATTTTATCATTCATTAAAACACAATTACATATGTGCTCATAAAAAGATGCATGAAAGGATGATCACCAAATGTTAATGGTAGTTATCTCAGGATCATGATTTTAATTTTCTTCTTCATAATTTTTAACAAAGTAAAACTTCAGTAAACAAAATATGTAATAAACTAACATCCTCCTAGATTACTTAGCTCCAGTACATCTCCAATATGCTAAAAAGAACCAGATTTCTTAATTTTATGAATTTTTAGTAGAAAAGATCCAGATATCCCAGAAAAAGTCTCCATTTACCTTTGTTCCTATGACCACCTGTCTATCACCAGGTACAAAGAATGAGCAAAGTGCATATTCACAGGTCATTGTGCGAATACACTGCAGTGTAGACCTATGAGAAAGAAAAAATAAAGAACTCATGTTAAGAGAATCTGCTTCCCCATTTTAGAGGTCAGTGTGTAGGTTTCGATGCACTTACTCATGTTGACAGATCAACATAGAAGAAGACAAAAGTCTTAAAAACCCTTGACTCACATACAATTATAGTCATGGGAGAAAATACTAAAGAGCACCAAACTTTGTTTACTTTATAAGGCCTCCAAATCCTAAGGAACAGAAATCACACAAAAGCAGGGTAGAAGTGTCTGTTGGGCTCCACAGAGCCCAATCTGCCATTACCAAGAAGTGAGTGAGTCTGAAGGGTTACAAGTCAAATTAGTACATCATTACAAATATCCCTACATTTTTTATAGGACCACAAACATTCATTAATTAAACAAATATATATCAAATGTCCACTTAACACACATTTACTGAATGCCCACTACATACCAGGTACTGTTCTAGGTGCTGGAGATACAACAGTGGATGAAACAGCAGAGGTTCCTAATCTCACAAAGGTTAACATTCTTTGGGAATAATAAATATGTAAATATTTGGTATATCAGATGATAGGTGCTACAAAGAAACATAATGCTGGGAAAAGGGGATGAAGAGTTCAAGGAGTAGGGTAAGAATGATAGGACTGTCATCTGATAAGACACAGAAAAAGCTTATGGATAAATGGGGAAGATGGATCCAAGCAGAAAGAACAGGGACATTCTTATTCTGTTGAAGGAATAGCAAGAAGGCCAGTGTGGCTCTAGTGGAGGAGAAAAGGAGAGTAGTAAGAGATAAGGTGTGTAAGGTAGGTAGAGTGAGATGGAACTATTGGAAGTGATCTAACTTCCACTATAAAAAGATTACACTGGCTACTGTGTTGAGAACAGACTATAGAGGGGCAAGCAAGAAAGCAGGGACACCAGTCAGGGGGCTATTACAATAACCCAGATGAGAGATGACAGTGGTTTGAATGGGGCAGTGGCAGTGCAGGTGGTAAGACGAGGCTGGATTCAGGATCAGTTTTGAAGGTAGAGCTGATAGGATCTGCTAATAGATTGGATGAATATGGGATATGAAAATCAACAATGGGCTGGGTGCGGTGGCTCATGCCTGTAATCCCAGCACTTTGGGAGACTGAGATGGGTGGATCACTTGAGGTCAGAAGTTCGAGGCCAACATGGTAAAACTCTGTCTCTACTAAAAATACAAAAATTAGCCAGGTGTGGTGGCACATGCCTGTAATCCCAGCTACTCGGGAGGCTGACACAGGAAAACCACTTGAACCCAGGAGGTGGAGGTTGCAGTGAGGCGAGATCACATCAATGCACTCCAGCCTGGGCGACAGAGCGAGACTCTGTCTCTAAATAAATAAATAAATAAAAGAAAATCAAGAATGGCTACAAGGTTTAGACTACAACAACTGGTAGCAAGTAATCATTTATTAAGATAGGGAAGTCTGAAGGAATAGCAGGTGGGAGGATTTTTGGAGACATGAACATCTAAGCTTGGTTTGGGACACATAAAAGTTTGAAATGCTTAATTAGACATCCAAGTGGTGACACAAAGTATTTGTATACATGAGTTTGATGTTTAGGGAGGAGGTTAAAGCTGGATATAAATGTATGTGTCATCACACAGAGAAAGCTACATGACAGGAGATTACATAAAGTGAGTTTAGATACACAAAAGGCCCAAAGACTCTACCCTAAAGTACTCTAACACTTAGACGTCATAAAGATAAGAAGGATGGAGCGAGGACTGAGAATAAATAGACAGCAAGGGAAGGGGAAATAATGAAAGTCAAAGAAAGTGTTTCAAAGAGAGGAAGTTATCAATTCAAGGAGAGAGCATAAAATAAAGCTTTTAGCTCACTGGACTTGGAAACGTGATCACTGATGACAATGACTGTTTTGCTGAAACAGTGGGGACAAAAGCTTGATGGGAGACAGATGAAGACAGAATGGAAAAAATGGAATCAGAGAATGGGGTAGTAACTGGAGAGCAATGCAGGGTGAGAGGGGGTTATTATTTCCTTTAAGATGGGAGATATGATCATTAGCTTAAAGGTTTTGGAGATATTTGGTTTGACAACAGAAGCAAGGTATAAAACTGTCATCTAGGAAAGTAAAAGAAGGGTGAAAAATTAGGGTACAATTACTGGGCAGCACTAACAGGCTGCTTTTTATTAAGTTTAAAGAGTAGGTAGTATGGTTGTGTGTTTTTCTCTAGCCAAGTACAGTTACAAGCGCTAGACATGGAATAAGCTTGCCTTTTTTTTTTTTTTTTGGCACATTTTAAAAGGCAACTTTTTCTTCTCTAAGCTCTACAGGCTAATGGCCCAAACACACTAAAGACAATTGTATTGAGGGCCTTAAGAAGTTAATAACTAACCCTCAAGAGTACCAAAAAAACTTAAAAGTAAAGAAATACTACTAAATACAGCTATATAAAACATGATTTCACAAACCTGTTCCATATTTTAATGGAATCAGCTGCAGCTGAAAGAACAGCAATATTGTCTGAGCTGAATGACAAAGTCCGCACATCACTACGATGACCCCCAATGGTGATTCTGCTTGTCCTGACAGGCTGAGGAGTAGGCAAGGATGGATTCAGTGAATACAGTTCCACCAGGTTGTTCTGCAGCAAGAAGACAGCCTTTAACTCTCCTTGAGGTGAATGAATCAAGTCAAAGGATCTGCATAAGAAAATAATCATAAATGTTCTAGCTACCATCTTAGCTCACAAGGTTAACTTTTTCCAGGAAAAGGCTTTGCAATGTCCTCTATCTATATAAAGCCTGAATAACTATACATAATTTTTCAAATAAGAGTGCTGTAAGGCTGGGTGTGGTGGCTCACACCTGTAATCCCAGCACTTTGATAGACCGAGGTGAGTGGATCACTTGAGGTCAGGAGTTTGAGACCAGCTTGGCCAACATGGCAAAACTCCATCTCCACTAAAAATACAAAAATTAGCTGAGTGTGGTGGCACAAGCCTGTAATCCCAGCTACTGGGGAGGCTGAGGCAGGAGAATTGCTAGAACCTGGGAGACTGAGGTTGCAGTGAGCCGAGATCATGTCACTGCACTCCAGCCTGGGCAACAGAGTAAGACTCCATCTCAAAAAAATTAGGGGAAAAAAAAAAAAGAGTGCTCCGAGTATTGAGTAGGCTTTTAAGTCAAAAAAAAAAAAAAAAAAAAAACTAGGCTCAGATCCTGGTTCTGATACATACCTTCGTTTTGTGTATGTATTCTTTATAAGTGACTTTATATCCTTTCTGAACGTGGGGCACACTTTTTTTTTTTTTTTCAATTAGCCACAGGAAAAGACAGTAAATGACTACCTAAAAGGGTACTACAATAATTCAAATACAAGACAAAAAGTGGGCCCATGGTTAGGGCGACAGGAGCACAGTGTGACACAGATGTCTCACGACCACTGTCTCCAAATATATAATTCATAGACAGCTTACAAATAGCATGAAAAAGCCAATAATACTTGGTAGCCGACTATTTCTATGATAACTTCAGATAATTTATTTTTACTTACTTGATTTTGGCAGAAGTTTTGATATTAGTCACCCGCTGGATTTCATCTTGCAGACTCATTTCAACATTAACTTCAGGATCTTCCTCCTCTCCTTTGCAAGAATGTAATCTAGAGGGAAGAAGAAAAGTGTATCATGCTCTTATTTTTCTAGAAGCAGCTTTGCACTTTGAGTTCAAAATCTGGCCCCTCGACCGACAAACTGTGTGATTCTGGAAAAGTCACTTAACCACACAGGATTACCATGAGAATTAAACAATGTAGTATAAGTGGAAATGCTTTGTACACTACAATGTCATAAAGTATTATTTCACTTAATAGCTACCCTTAAGAAATGGATTCTGAATGCAATAGCCCATAAAATTTCTTGTAACAAGGTCCTTGTAATTACAACTATTCCACTGAAACGTCTCTGGTTATTTTTCTAATTTCAGGACTTTTTAGAAAACTCATTAACCTGCACTTAACAATCCAACCATGTTAAATAAACCAGAATAGGTCTCAAAAGATTTGCTGAATCAGATGATTTTCTATCTCTCTGAGATTTGACAAATTTGGGTTATCGGTACCTCACAAGTTCTTCTTTAACTTTTAACGGTAATTGATAAGAGAGTAAATATTAAAGAAGCCAGTTTTTTTCAGTAACATGGGACCTATCCAGGATATTTCATTATTAATATAAGTATTAAGAAAACATACTTTGCTTTCTTTCTAGCTTTCTTCATCTTCTTGTCCATTTTCTTCTTAATTTCCTCTTTGGAAAGGATACAAAACAATTCTAACACAGAATCAGTTCCCTAGAAAGGCAAAAGGTTAATGTGAGTCAAGGAGAGGTAATCTGTAATTTACCTAATTCTCAAAAGTAAACAACAATATTTATATTTCTTCCCTTAGTTAATCTCTCTGGGTTTGCTATCTCATCTGTAAAATGAGGATATCACTTCCTACTTGTAGCATTGCTCTGAAGGCTAAACAAGAAGTTAAATGCTTTTAAATTGCTTAGAAGAGCAAGCATTTAATAAATGGTTGCTAATAAAAATAATATTGGTGTAAAAGTAATTGCGGGTTTTACCATTACTTTTTAAATTACTTTTCCAATTACTTTTTCACCAACCTAATAGTAATTATTATTTCTGTTGTTATGCTAATAAAGCTAGAGATTATAGGTCCACACAGTGAATTATTAACATGAGTCAAGAAAAAGTCATCTTTACATTGAATATGAAAGAATGAGTATTTGAAAGGAACAGCCTAGTCCTTGTTATTTTCTCCTAAGTATGGTACTCACATGGCAAGCAAGAATCCTGCCTGTCTTCTCGACTGCAAGGTTTACAACTCTGTCTCTTCCTTCCCGCATTATGGAACCAGCTTTTCTACATGAAAGGATTCGCTACAGAAGAAGCAAGAGCAGATGAAGGTTAGATGTAAGTTCTGCTGAACTTCTGAAAAAAATATAATTCTATTAAGTGCAAGTGACAAAAATATTCCCTAAAGTGATGATTCCCTAAAAATCTGCAATTCTTACTTTCCCACTATTCAACACAATTAAACTTAAGAAACGAAAATGAATTACATCCTCAGGGGCTTCATCCATCTCAAAGGTACCATCCTCTGCCTCAAGAGTATCTTGTACTCCAGGAGAAGATCCTTTGATTTTCTTGGGGTCTGGTTCTTCCAGGTCTTCAATCTGTTTTATAAAAATGGGAAAATAAAAGCTGAAATAGTATGTTCCAGGAGGTATTTTGTTGTTGTTGTTGTTGGAGACAGAGTCTTACTCTGTCGCCCAGGCTGGAGTGCAATGGCATGATCATATCTCACTGCAGCCTTGATCTCCTGGGCTCAAGCCATCCTCCCACCTCAGCCTCCCACATAGCTGAAACCACAGGCACCGCCATGCTTGACTAATTTTTAAATTTTTTGTAGAGACAGGTTCTTGCCATGTTGTCTAGTCTGGTCTCAAACTTGTGTGTGGACTCAAGTGATCCTCCTGTCTCAGCCTCCCAAAGTACTGGGATTACAGGCATGAACTACTGTGCCTGGCCCAAGAGGTAACTCTTAATCCTGAAGACTTAGAAATCTTTCTTATGGCCAATAATAGCTTCTAATCTGTGATCTCCCTTATCAAACCTCTTCAGTAGCAGGGCAGGTATCAGAACTTATTAAAAACTGACTACATAATATACAAACAGAATACTACTCATTATACTATCTCCAAAAACTTTCTATAGCATATGGACTACTGTTTAGTGACAACAGTGAAAAACGACCCCACTCTTCACTAACTTCAAAATTTTCTCTGTATTTAGGTGAAAGGTCGACCATATTGTAGAACAAAAAATTCAAATTGGCATTAGGAACTGCAAAGGCATCGCAAGACAGGTTGATACATTTTCTCCTTAAATAAAAGATAACCCCTAGCCTACTAATGTAACTCCCATCAAAATGGCTGCTGGACACCGCACACACCGAAATTCAGCTAAACCTAAGGTCTGCAAGCTTTTCTTCTATGTAAATTCTTTGAATGTCTAAGAAAAAGTTACAGATCTTTTCAGAATATACATATTTATAAACGTAAAATTCTACATATATGTTTGAGGAGAAAGGTTCACAGATATTCTGAAGGCCATCCAAGGACCCCCAAAGGTCCAAGAATATCTGATTAAGAGTGCCACAAAATAAAACATTAGTATTATAAGAAACTGTAAGCCTAAAGCTAACCTGAGCTCAAATAAATGAGGATAATGAGCATACAAGGAAGAAAAGCTTTTTTAGGTGTTGCAGGTTATTGATGTGATAGAATTCCTTCTAATACTATGTGAAGTACTCAATAATTACATCTGATTCTAAAACCAAGGTGCTTATGAAACTTCTAAACATGACACTGCCCATGATTTTAAAAAGTAATTACCTCTTGCAGATAAGCTATGTCCCATACCCTCAGTTCACTGTCTGAGGCTCCAGTGATGAGTCGCTTTTCTTCTGACACCAGAACCAACCCCCATACCTATAGAATATAAAAAGATTTGAGTAATACAACTTTCAAGAGATTCCAGGTAGTATATGATGTTCCAAAAGTCTAAGTTACACCGTAGTGAAATGTCTTTAGCACCTTAAAGGCAAAGAAAAGGCATAGCGACAATCCTTTCAAAATGCGCTAAGAGAAATCTCACTATTACAGAGAAAAAAAAATGGCCTGCGGTGAAACTGTTACTTTTGTGATACTACGAGTTTGTCTCTAACCTCCTATAATCAAATTAAGATAATAGCTGTTAAGCATAAATCTTAACTGAAATCCACTCAAATGATGATTTTAAGTCTCTATTTCTTTGCTTTTAGCAGTGTCTAGCAAATAAAAGGTGCCCCGCTAATGTCCATGGCATAACTTTCAGCTTCAAGTATCCAGGAATTAAATAAAGAAAATAATATTGTTGCAAATCAACAAATAATTTAATATTCTTGTCATTAATTCTAGGTATTACCTTCCTGAATGCCTGATATGAATAAAGCACTGAGGATGCAAAGATGTATAAAAAACAGTCCCTGAACTCAACTAATTAGATCTGTGTTCAAGTAACTATTATAACAGCTACCATATGCTGCTTACCTATCAGTAAGCTAGATGCTGCACACATAATATTATTAAACTTCCCTACATTCATAAAAGTGGACACTTATTATTTAGAAATGATGAAACTCAGGAATTAAAAACCATCCAAGGTCAATTTTTACTACATATCAGAGCATCAGTATCTGCTTCAATGGCTAGCATTGCTTCCATCAAACCAGCCTCACTATCCCTCAAGATGGCATGTAATTATTGTGTGCAGTAAAAACAAAGAGCCATGAAAGGGGAAGCGAAGAACACCACCTTTTCCCTTTTGCCTTCCCATTATTTCCCTGGGCCCATGACCCTCCACGTACCTCAGTCCGGTGGCCAACCATTGTTTTAAAGCAGTGCTGAGTATCAAGGTCCCACCATTTCACCATGGTATCTTTCCCACTAGAAGAAGAAACAGGAGAAAAAAAAATATATCCTGTTTAGGAAAACTTATTCAACTAATAGGGAGATCCAAAACTCACTGTTGCTTTAAAAGGAACATATGCTTCAATAATGTCTAAAGTTCCGATTCTCTCTGATCTTTCTTTTGAAAAGCAAAGAATCATAACTTTCCTTGTAGTTATTCCTGTGCAGAAAATAAAATGTTCCACCTACAAGCACAAGAATGACTTTAGATGCAGAGTACCAAAGAATACAGAATTTGATCCATCATGGCTTCCTCCCATCATTTCCATCATCACAGCATTGGCATTCCCTCAGACAATCTACCATGGAAACATCTTAGACTTCTCCCATTCCCTTGTCTTCCTGTCCAGTTAGTCTCTTGTCCTGAAAATGCCTCCTCTGTGAAGTTTCTAAGTATTGACACCTTCTAGTCCGTTTCTGTACACTAACCTGAACTTAAGTCCTACTACCTGGATTATTTTAACAACTTCTCATTTGGTCTCTATCCATTGCTGTTCTTTCATCCCATCCAATGTGCAACTGTCAGATAACCTTAATTTTTAATATTTGCACTCACTCAATGTTCCCTGTAGAATGAAAATCAGGCTCTTTGGCAGCATTCTCAAAATTTCCCATTTATTTGTTCCTAACCCCCTAAATATAAGCCCTCCCAGCCAATGGCCTCTACTACTCCTGCTCAAACACCTCTTCCCTACCTCTTCACTACATAAATCTAATATAATCCTCCTTCATGAGCAAACTGGAAAAAAAAAAAAACCCTCAAAAACCTGATTTACAAAGTCCATCCCATATAACCCCACCTTACAGTGTTATTTACTTTCCTTTATATTCCCTAAGCTGTAATATATATATTTTCTATTAGAACTATAGAATCATTCTCTTACAGAACCTGTGTTATCTGAACAAGACACTAATTTACCTGTATCCTATCCCATAGAAACAAATCCACCATTGGTAAAGCATTTAGTGCTCACAGCTTTTTCTGAGTTATTACTATGGTTCCTCTAATTAATGCCTGGCAAACCTTGGTATCCCAGCTTTTCCTAGGTGGCCATTCTTTAGGAATATTCATTATTATGTTAGGTTGAACAATATAAGATTGTTGATATTTGATGATTTTTTATGTACACAAATAAAAATTTCAAATGGTTCATCCTAATAGGTGTTTAGGAGGACTATGAAGTACAGTATATCTCTCCTCAAAAGGCGAGCTGAATTTAACACCTGGTATTCATATCTTCCCTCTGCTCCATATTCTGATTCTTGGCTTTCTAGATATCTAGAAGGTAGACAAAGCTCATTCTATAATGAGCTTCAAAAGGCTAAGAAACATGGAAAAACTGATATCAAGAGAAAAGAATGACAAATTAGAAAAATTATTTTAAAAATAATATAACTTTAGACAGCTCTACAATACTACTTAGAAGAAATGGAAAAAAGGAAAGCAGGAGAACAGGAGAGAACACTAATGCATAAGCATAAGCACACTGCTCATGAGAGAAATGAGTAAGGAAGAAAGCAATTTCTCTCTTCCTAAAAAAGAACTGGAAATTAAACCATTATTTTTTTACCTAGTAACTAGCAGGTTCTTTTCTCGTAGAAACAAGGCTTGTGTGATGGCGTCCTTGTGCCCCTTTAGACGGTAGAGACCACTTTCATTGATCACATCCCATACAATAACATCTGTGTCCTAAAGGGATCAAATAATACAGATGAAAAATAATTTTCTTTAACACATATAGCCTAACTTGACAAACAATGAGACTTAATTATTACAAAGGCAACACATAGTCCTTGCAGAAAATTTGGAAAGCATGGGGAAAGTACAGTGGAATAAACACCAGCCTTATTCCCACCATCCAGAAATAATCCCCAGATATTGTTATTGCTCTAGTTTTTATGTATAATCCAGGTTATTTTCCTATTAGAAATCTGAGATCATGCCATTCCTATCATTTTACAACCTTTTCTTTATTCATTAAATATTATTTCCATTTCTTCCATGTTATTCTAGAGTGTTCACATTTTTAATGCTCACATAATAATAAATTCTAAAACGATAGCACAACTTACTTTAAAATGTTTCTATTTTAGACATTTAGGTAGTTTCCAACTTTCTGCTGTTATAAATATGCAGAAGTGAACATTCTTATACACAAATTTTTGTATGTATATCTGATTAGAAAAAACTGAAATGAAAAGTTCTTGGGTTGTATGATATGTTTATTTTTAAAGTTTTAGATTGATACCATCAAAATGATCTCCAGGTTGGGTAAATCTATAGAACCAGCAGGGATATGTATGACAAGCCCTGTTTCCCATTCACTTAACTCTATTATTAGTTTTCTCAGAAACTACTACCAAACTCATAAGTAAAAAATGTTCAGTCTTAGTATTTATTTTAATTTACATTTATGAATACAAATGAAAAATATTTTACATGCTTTATGATGATTACTGGCCATTAGTATCTCGTTTGAATTGCCAATTCATGTGTTTGTCTATCATTCTTTGGGTGTCATCTCTTACTTGACTGTTTGTAAGTTATTAATAGATGAATGATACTAATTCTTTCTTTTTATAGTGAAAATATTAAATATTTTAACTTTTTCAGTTTCCTCTGACTTGTTTTTAATGTACAAATGTTTCAAGTATTCCAATCTACCAACAGTTTCCTTTTTATTTCTTTGCTAATACATTTAAAGTCCTTTTCTACCTTGCCATCAGATATTTACTTATATATTTTCTAGTTTACTTTAAAATGCTATTTTTTTATAGTTAAATCTTTAATCTTTGTTTTATTTTGGTATATAGCACAAGGTAAAGCTTTAATTTAAAATTTTCCCCCAAATAGCCAGTTGTCTAAGGACTGTTTTATAAGTAATCCATCATTTTTCTACTTACTAAAAATGTCATCTTTAAAATATACTAATTAGGAATGTAAACGTGGATGTGTTTCTGAGATTTCCATTTGGTTGCAAAAATCTATTTTGCATTGATACTTGCATTGAGGTATCAATATGATACTTCTTAAATTTGGGTTTATACGACATTTTAATATCTGAAACTCCTGTTTTATTATTCTTTTCTTCCCAAATGTTGGTGTTTCCAATTCCTTTGCTTTTCCATATTAGGTCAAGTTCTAAGTAACAACTAAAACCTTTACAATATCTATTTAAATATATCTATATCTATATATAAACATATGTCTAAACATAGCTTTAGCTATATAAATCAATTAGAAAACACTACCATCTTTTCAATGCCTTGTCTTCCCACTCAAGAACATGGATTATATCTCTACAGAAGTCTCCTATTCCATTCTTCAGTAAAGTTTCATGGTATTTTTATGTCTGTTACTTAATCTGTTGTGAATGGAATCTTTTATATTTTCTAACTCATGACTTTTGAGATATAGGAAACCCTACTGACTTTACAGAAAATGGCAAACAATTATTATTTTGTCTCTTCTTTTCCAGTCTTTGTTTTATTTCCTTATTTTACTGTTTTGGGTAGCACTTTCACAATAAGAGTTATCATGGCTATCTTCATCTTATTCCTATACTTAATAGGCTTTTATCAGAGAATATGATAAAATGAACAAAAGGAAACAAAATGAACTTCCCAATTCACACCCATCCTCCTCACTCTATTTCTACCATTATACTACTTTGTATATTGGCAGCCCATTGTTTTACCTGACAATTTTTGTCAACAACTTGCTTCGGCGTAAGCCTTACATTCCTTTAATATACCAAAGTCTGGGTTGATTCAAAGGCTCACCTTGGACCCAGATGCCAGTCTGCCTCCTAGCTGATCATACTTCAAGGTAGTGATAGCTGCTTTGTGACCATTGAAGGTCACATTTCCTTCCCCACTCAGGAGACTGAAGATTCGGATCGACCCATCCTCATACCCAACAGCTAAGTGTAGCCCATCTGGGGAGGGGCACAAGCAAGTAACTTCTTGTTTAAGCCCCTGAAGGATAAGAATCTGAAATTATAAAAATTAAAAACAATGTAAAAGAGTTAAGCATGAAATCAAGGGAATAGCATAGGAATACTCAGGCACAGTAAAATTAAGAGCACCAATAATTCCAAATTACTCTTATGAATAAAAATGAAACTCTACAATCCATTTCAAGTTTTTTAATATAGAAATTAGTATTTGTACTAGGCAATTAAATATTTAAGAAAAAGCTTACTTATTTTCTCCAAAGCCCTACATTGGTGTAATACATATAAAAACTCCCTAGGCAATAAAATAAATTTAATACCTTTAATGTAAGTCTTGATCCTAGAACAACACTACGTGATTTTCAATAAAGAGTTGCAAATTCCGGCCGGGCGCGGTGGCTCAAGCCTGTAATCCCAGCACTTTGGGAGGCCGAGACGGGCGGATCACGAGGTCGGGAGATCGAGACCATCCTGGCTAACACGGTGAAACCCCGTCTCTACTAAAAAAATACAAAAAACTAGCCGGGCGCGGTGGCGGGCGCCTGTAGTCCCAGCTACTCGGGAGGCTGAGGCAGGAGAATGGCGTGAACCCGGGAGGCGGAGCTTGCAGTGAGCTGAGATCCGGCCACTGCACTCCAGCCTGGGCGGCAGAGCGAGACTCCGTCTCAAAAAAAAAAAAAGAGTTGCAAATTCCTTTAACTGAGACCCATTTTATAAGAAAACAATCTGCATGGCAATCGAGTACTACAGTGGTTTTCACCACAAAGGACTCTGGGTGGCAACAAGAATCAAAGTAGTAATCTCTTGGGAATCACAAAATGAGTGGACAATATCAAAATGCCTATATTTGGTTTGGCAAAAGTGGTAGGCTTAGGGAATTCAGTCACACAAAGTATTGAAGTCTAGTTTAACAACACTCGGGCCTTATCCACATTAGAAAAACATTCTGCCAACATAGAGTTACCATCCTTTTACATGCCTAATATTTTACAACCAGCTATAAGCATAAGTCGAACTTGAAAAATAGAATTGGTAGAGAAAAAATACATTAGGAATAAATAATTACTACAAATAATGACCTGTAAATATTCCAACAAATAGACATCTAAGAAATAAGTTCCTATTTCTTTGTGGTTTTCAGAATTTAGTGGAGAAGAACACAAAGGAACTTGATGCTTGGCTAGCTAGACCTGAAGGAAAAAGATTTCTCTTCTCTTCTAAGGGCACACACACACCAAAAAAACTCATGATAAATAAATCAGAGCTCCCCCACTCCTACTACCTCTCCATCCTCAAGTACCAATAAATCAATATCAAACTGGTCATTTTGGGCTCACCTTCTCTCCTTTCCTTAAGTCCCAGATGAAAACGTGTTCACAAGCTGGTACTGCCACATAGCGTCCTTTCTCACCACGAAGTGTCACAAAGACAATATTACCTTTTTGGCTGCCAATGACGCCAAAGACGGCACTAGCAACATAGCGTAGGTACTGCTTGGTGAGCCCCATGTTATGATGTCTGATACCACAGGTGAGGCAATCTGTGCACAGAAACAAAGAAAACTCAGCTCCTTGGGTGCCTTGGTTCTACTAGGTTAGTAAACACCAACTGTTTTTTGTTTTTCATTTTTGAGACAGAGTCTCACTCTGTCGCCCAGGGTGGAGTGCAGTGGCGGGATCTGGGCTCACAGCAGACTCTGCCTCCTAGGTTCAAGCGATTCCCCTGTCTCAGCCTCCCGAGTAGCTGGGACTACAGGCATGTGCCACCACACCCGGCTAATTTTTGTATTTTTTTTTTTTTTAGTAGAGATGGGGTTTCACCATGTTGACCAGGCTGGTCTCGAACGCCTGACCTCAATTGATCCGCCCGCCTCGAAGTGCTGGGATTACAGGTGTGAGCCACTGCGCCCAAACAACACCAACTGTTTATCATGTCATTAAAAGCATGTAACTTGTGACTTCTTAATCTTTATTTACTCTGAATAATTCATTGACCTAAAATACCTAGACATCTTCATTTTTTATTCCTGTTGACTCAATATAATCCCTCTTCCTCAAGTTCCAGATTAGTCATATTGTCATCCCCAACTCATGCATATCTGACATTATAGGCTCAATGCAGCTAAACTAATTTACTTCTGCCCATTCAACCAGCATCAAAGCTTTTACATAGAGATTGGTAGTCTGAGACTGAACATATTTTTCAGTGACTATTTATTGAAAACCTACCAATTAGACAGGCACCGTTCTAGACACTGGATATACACTATTAATAGGACAAAATCCCTAACCTCATATTACTTAACCTTCTTGTACAGTGGTTCTCTAACTCTAGTATACATCCAAATTACCTGGAGGGCTTATGAAAACACTGCTAGAAAACACCATCTCATCTCTTCTCCCAGCACCTGTTTCTGATTTCATAAGTCTGGGGTAGGGCCTAGAATTTTTCATTTCTAACAAGTTTCCAAGTGATGCTGCTGTTGCAGTTCTTGGACCACACTTTGAGAACTATTAGTCCATGAAAGTCTGTCCTTCATTTCAAAATCAGAGCAGTCACTTACCCTTGGCATAGAAAATGGGTGAGCAACTTGGCACACTATTTTTGGAAAGATGCCGTAATTTCTGCACTTTTATTAAATTCACTGAAAATCCATAATCCACTGGTTATGTATAAAAGGGACAAGAGGTGAATGAAGGAGATAACAGATCAGTCCCATCTGTTCTTTACATGGAAGAGTAAAAAATATCCCCAAAAAACACCCATGCAACTTAAAACACACAAAAATAAAGAAGTTACGGTCTTTTATGAGGAGCTGTTTCTTTTTGCTATTGTTTTTTGTTTCTTTGTTTGGTTGATTTAACTCTACAGGGTCTTTCTAATTATCAAATGCTGTTTTAGTCTACTTCAACAAAAAAAAATTCAATCTCAACTCTCTGATAATATTTTCTGTTAATAATCACTTACTGGCCTCATTGTTTCTCTCACAGGAACCAACATAAAGCCAATTTAAAATCAAGGAAAGATAATGTTAACAAGATAATAATGCTCTTAGCCTAGGCCATTTGATTAATTCCTTCGCAATTCCTCTTATTCCTCCAGACTCTGTAGTTGTTCCTTATGTTTGCCTGTCTTTGTACATCTACCACCTCCTTCTATAGTATCTTCCTTGGAGAATTCATATAGCATGCCTAGGTCCACAGACTCCCATATGTCTATTTCCAGTCCTGCCCACCTACATGAATACTAATTATAGAGTTTCCAATATTTACTGAACATCTCCACTTGAATATCTTAGAGTTTCACATTTAACATGTCTATAACCAAACCTACCTTACTTCTGGTATCCCTCTCTTTTTTTCAGACACTAAGACACAATTTTCCCAGTTACTCAGGCTCAAAACCATTTAATAACCTTTGAATCATTAATAAAAAATATTATTATAGCAGCCAAGATTTAGCGAGTGCTTATGCTATAGTAACTGATAACATTAAATGTATATAACTTCGTAAACATATGCAACTGTTTAATTACATACAGCAATTAAGCAATTAATGAAATGAGTTAACATATGCAAAGCACTTAGAAAAGCCTCTAGCACATTGTAAATGTAAGTATAAAAAAATTATCCTCAAGCCTGTAATCCCAGCACTTTGGGAGGCCGAGACGGGCGGATCACGAGGTCAGGAGATGGAGACCATCCTGGCTATCACGGTGAAACCCCGTCTCTATTAAAAAAAATACAAAAAACTAGCCGGGCGAGGTGGCAGGCGCCTGTAGTCCCAGCTACTCGGGAGGCTGAGGCAGGAGAATGGCGTGAATCCAGGAGGCGGAGCTTGCAGTGAGCTGAGATTACGCCACTGTTCTCCAGCCTGGGCGACAGAGCGAGACTCCGTCTCAAAAAAAAAAAAAAAAAAAAAATTATCCATAAGGACCTGGTGTGGTGGCTCATGCCTGTAATCCCAGCACTTTAGGAGGCCAAGGCCTGGAAGTCAAGAGTTTCAGACCAACATGGGCAACACAGCAAGACCCTATCTCTACAAAACGTTTTTTTAAAAATTAACCATGCATGGTGATGCACTCGGGAGGCTGAGGCAGAAAGATCACTTGAGTCCATAAGTTCGAGGTTGCAGTGAGCTATGATCACGCCACTGCACTCCAGCCTGGGTGACAGTGAGACTCTATCTCTAAAAATAAATAAACAAATTCTCCACAATAACACTACAAGGGAAGTCACTCTTCCTATCTCTATTTTACAGACAAGGAACTCAGACCCAGAGATGGTAAACTGCTAACCCAAAGTCATTCAGCAGCTAAGTGCCAAAGTCAGATCCCAATCCAGCCAGTCTAACTCCAAAATTTCTGCTTTTAACCACTATGCTAAACTGCTTCTATTTGCCTCTTTCTCTGTAGTCAACTCCACCTGACTGTTAGTCTGAAACAGGATGCCTTTCCCTCCAGCACTTTCAGTTCCAGCTCTTTATCACTGGGTTACTGCACTGACTTTCCACCTAGCACCTCCGCCTCCATGTTTTTCACTCTTTTCATTTAAAAGTCATAATACTACCGACTAATCTTTTCAAATGAGCTTTCCCATCCTAAAGCCTTGAAAAGGCTGAATCGTTTGCCAGTTTTCAAAAACTCATCCTGTCTAACCTCCGTATTTCTCGAATAAACGTTCCTGTCGGGCTGGCTAGTTTCCTTCCTCGTCCTGCGACCTTGTATTCTTCATAGTATTCGTTTTACTCAGAATAAATGCATTTTCTCCTCTACTTATTTTAATCAATGTTATCCTCTGAGGCCCACTTCTTTTCGAGTAAACCCAATTCTCGCAGCCTTTTTTCATACCCTCGATATTTAAACTACCTCCCAAACAACTTGCACTGTTCACTTTGTTCCACGTGCACAGCTTTCGCCTCCTTTCGGACAGTTCATGACCAAACCTTCTTCCGAGACCCCATCATCTCCGCTTCCTAATCCACAGCCCCCAAAACGATGTTTTCACGATGCACTGAGGGCCTGGACCGTGGTAACAGACCTGCCACACATTCCTAAACTAGTCTTCGGTCAGGAAAGGGTGACGGAGGGTTCCACACATCGAACACACGGTCAGATCATCCTCAGGCAAGCCCGTTCATACGCACGGTCAGGCAGCTCTGCTCAGCACACGCAACCTCGCCGAGTAGCTGAGGGGCTTCCAAGTACTGCTGTGGGGACGCCCGTAGTTACCTGAGTTCCCCCAGCCCTAACAACAGGCCCTAAATACGCCCGCCTCGGCTGCTGCTGACATCACGAACGCCTCAGACAGAATCTGCAAAATTGGAGCCGCACAGAAGGCTCTCAGCTCCAAACTTGAACCTCCAGGACTCACCTCAGCCTCCACGAGGCTCCCAGCCGACTGGGCCCGCCCACAAGACCTGCCCCTTCCGGGAACGTTCCGGAAGCCTCTTTCTCCAGAGGTTCCCTTTGCCTTCCAGGAGGAAATGACGGAGAGAGCCGGGCGCTGATTGGCGAGCTCTGGCCGGGAGCGGAAGCCGGTGTTTCGCAGCCGAGAGCATTTGCAGCTGGTCACTCCAGCCTCCTGGGACTTTGACTCGCCCTACTCGGTGCGCTCCTGCTGAGGGTCGTCGGAGATGTCGCTCGGCCGCCTTCTACCGGGAGCCTGATCCGTCCCGCCCGCCGCCCGGATGGGACCGCCGGAGTGCTGTGAGAGGCGGGGCGGAGACCGGGAGGGAAGGCGGGGCGGAGGGGGCCGGGGGCGCGGCCCGAGGCGCACGGGACCCGGCCCTGGTCGGGATTGCAGGCTGAGGTTTTAGTTCTGTCACTTCTCTGGAAGAATGAGGCTGGCACCACTTCCTCGCCTGTTGGTTAGGTTCTCGCCCGAGGCGTTGTCGGGGACGCCGTGTTGACGAGGAGTGAAGGGGTAGGCAGTCGGCGGGCACTAGGGACAGTGGTGCCCTAGCCAAGAAGGCGCGCGCCCTAGGGTGCAAGTGTATAGGGCCGGCGGGAGCCCTTGCTGGTTGTAGCCCCAAAGACAAGTCCATGTTGCCGCTCCTGTGGACTGGACATTCCACGAACCGAGAGCACCTCGGGTGAGGGGTAGGTAGACGCTGAGCCCAGGATGGTGCGTTGTCTAGGTCCCCGCAATCCCTGGAGTGACACTGGCCTGGCTTTGTGTTTCCGCTCTCTGGCCGCTTGAAGGGGAAGTGACCAAGGCTGACTCCTCCTTGTTTGCTCCCTGAGATTTAAGTGCTCTGTCACCAAGTGGGAATTAGCTGTTCTCTCTTGCATTTCTACTACTTTATTCTTGAGCTGCATAGAAGTGTTTAGAAATGAGTTCTGATGTCTAGAGCTGTGCAAAATTAAAGCTAACATAGCGGTACAAAAGAAGATCCTACCAGCGCTTCTTGAACAAGGTATCTAAAGCCAGCCTAGAAATTAGACCTTTGTCTACATAATCTGATTTTGTTCAGAGTTTCTTGAGCTTAAGGCATGTTCAGCTAATCTTTCGTATTCAAGAAAATTGCAATAGCAAAGAATGCGTATGATGAGACTGTGGACAGCTGTAGCAGCATAGGAGTTTTGAAACAAGATTGCCGTGTATTGGATGAATGACAAAGGAAGAAATTGTGGCCACAAACTATTATTTTAATAAGTTGGGTGGGAAAGGGAGCGTTTGAGTGGGTGTGTATGGTTAATATCCCTGACAGGTGCTGTGCATTATATTATTATGGGGGAAAGCGTGTGCTTCAATGGAAAACTGCATAGTTTCGAGTCTATCTTACCCCTTGGATTAGCTAATTCTAAAAAAGCCATTTTTCAGTTATGTAAACTAGGTAACTGACATCAATGCTAGATAATTTTTGTCAAGACATGCGAATTCGCTCTCTGAGAGGTTCAGTGGAAGTTTTGCCTCCTTTTGCATGTTTATTTCAATATTCCTGCTCTAAGGTGTCTAATTCTGGGATTTTCTTTATCTTCTGCCTGGTTCCCTTTTGAGTTAAATAAAATCTTGAACACGGGTTTGGTTTTATATTTGAAGGAGTCATGATTTTACCTTTTCTTTAAAAATTATATTAATATTATTAAATATTATGGGATGGGACAACCACAGATGGAAAAAAAATGATTTTAATAAGAGTTGGTATCAGAGCAACTGTGAGTGGTAAGATAATGCATCTTATAAAATTCCCTATACAGTGTTTCAAGGATATAACTCTACCTCCTTATTTAAGTTTCAAAATGCTCAATATATCAATACTTACAATTAAAACATAGTGCAGTTCATTTAATATGAAGGGGTACTACTAATTCACTGTGAGGATATGTTCTTTGGGTGCTTTTGAGTGATGATGTTAAATTTGACCCAAGCCATTGACAAGCTTAGGAATGTTCTTGTTATACTGTGTTTATTGTTGACATACTTGACTACTTCAGTTAGTCTTCCAATCTGAGAATCTTTTTAAAAAACTGTGATTCTCACTGATGGCATAAAATGATTCTTAAGTATGGTGTTGGATGGTGGCATAGAATGATTCTTAAGTATGGTATGCACACAAATCTTAGTGTACTCTGAACTGTTAAATATTGAAATACAAAGTCATAAAGAATGGTAAACCTGGGAATTAATGGCCGTCAAGTGCATGTACCAGCTGTCTTTGTACTGTTGTTGTCCAGGCTGGTCTGATCAATGTAAGCATTTTGAAAGACAGGTAAACAGGTCAAAAGTTACCATTTTTCATTCTTAAATGATATCATTTTCTTTTTATCCAGACAAAAAGGTTTTTTTGAGATGGTGATCCAAGGTATTATGCCCAATTTTTCCCAGTTTTGAACAATAAAATCTGATCTCTCTAGCCAGTCCAGTTATTCATATTAAGCAGTATTTAAAGGACTTCTTAAACTAAAAGATGACAGGATTTGAGAAAGAAAAAAAAAAAAACAGAAGTTGCAGTGTAATGAGAGCTGTTTACTCTGTACTGTTTGAATTATAAAGGATACATAGTGGGTTATCTTTGTCTTTAGGTCCTCTTCACTAAAGTACTGAAAAGCATATGGCTATGGAAATAGATCTGATTCATTATGGAATCTTCTGTTTGTCCCATGTAGGCTTTTTGATCCTTGGAAATTAATGTCTTGCTTCAAGAACCTTTTTTGTTTTTTTAAACTAGGGCTTAGTGTTTGTTTATGAATTTATTCAAAGTACAGAGCTGATCAACTGATTTTCAGTGGACAGTCTTGCTCTCCTTTAATGTTATCAAAAATTCTGGCTGTGACTATAGATTACTGGGTATAGAAGCCTTCTCCTCCCTTCATCACTTGAGCAATCTGTTTGCATTCTATCACTGAGATTGTAATTCAAATTTATTTACAAATCTGCTTGTATGAGCTCATACACAAACATTTTGGGGAGTGAAAGGATCTGTATCTTTCATGTGATTCTCAAAGGGGCCTGTGACCTTGAGAATGTTAAAAACCACTGTTCTCTTAGGGATCAGGTTTTCCTGCCTAGCTTGGGTTTGTGGCTCCATTTACTGTATGTATTACTAAGGTGTATGTGTGTTTAGGGGAGGGAGAGATTCAAACCTCTTTTTGGTGAGAAACATCAATGTTTGTTTAGAGATGGAGTTGAAAAAGAATTCAACCTTTGCTAAATACTGTGACACTTCATAAAATGCCATTAAATTTTGTCCTAAAATAAGAGCTATGAGCATTACTTTTACTTATTTAACATCCAAATCTTGTGAGTCACAATTACTTAAAAGCTGGGAAAAGGATCCAACAAACCCTACTGACCAGGTCTGATCAGGGATATAGGAGAACCACCAGGGTGTACTGTCAAAGACGGTAATAGAGTTTTGAGGAGGAAATGATCAGTAATAAATGTGGATAAAATTGGATTAGTTCTTGGATTTGACATTTGGGAAGTTATTGTTGACCTTGATAAAGCAGTTTTAGCATAGCTATAGAGCGGAAGCAAAACTGCAGTAGATTGAGCAAATGTATGAAGAGAAAACAGAGCTACAAAACAAATTACTCTTAAAAAGTCAAGTGGAAAAAAAAGAGGAGTTTAATATTCTGAAGAAGAAATGAAGTAGAAGAAATAAAGGAGGAAAACCTTTTTGAGAACAGGAGGATTGAGAGGAAGGAAAAAGTAATATGTAATTGTAAAAGGAGAATTTGTGTTGTAACACTCACTTAAGAGGAGAAATGGTCAAATGAAGGAAATTGCTTAAATTAAGGTGATTTAGCAGGCTTAAAAGTGTGGAATATACCCTCAAATCATCACTTGGAAGTTGGAAACAGTGAATGATTTTGAATTGGAGGGAAGTTAAGGTAATTGTTCTCCTATGCAGTTTTGACACCAATTATCTCATTTAATGCTCACAATAATCTTAGGAGACTTACTCTTATTTTAGAAATAAAAAATCTGGTTTAGAGTCAAGGATAACACAACTATTGGATGATCCAAACTCAGACCCTGTGATAACAGAGTCCAAACTCTCACATTGAAACATACTGTCTCTGCCTCACTGTGTAATTGCACATGGAAATATTTACCTTAAAATACTAAAGAAGCTGGATTCAAAATTGTATCAGTATGATTTTACCTATCACAGAAAAATGTAGTAACTACATCAAAAGTTGAGGAATTTTTTCCTCCCCCTTAATTTTGGTTTCTTTTCTTTTCCTTCTTTTCGTTTCTTTTCTTTTTTGAGATAGGGTTTTGCTCTGTCACCCATGCTGGAGTGTGGTGGCACAATCTTGGCTCACTGCAACCTCCACCTCTTGGGCTCAAGCAATCCTTCTACCTCAGCCACCTGAGTAGCTTGGACTACAGAAGCATGCCACCACACCTGGCTAATTTTTTGTATTCTTGTAGAAATGGGGTCTCACTGTGTTGCCCGAGCTGGTCTTGAACTCCTGGGCTCAAGTGATCTCCCCGCCTCAGCCTCCCAAAGTGCTGGGATTACAGGTGTGAGCCACCGCGTTCGACCAATTTGATATTTTTCAAATGTTCTGTAAACATGTATTACTTAGAGTCAGAAAGAAAAGTTATCTTAGAAAAGCAATTTTGTCCTGAAAGTTGGCCTTCAAGTTTACAAACTGAAAACTGTTTGTGTTTAATGGATTTGTTTTTAGATTATAGTTAAGAACTTTCAATATTAGTCATTGTCATAAAAAATCTGCAGATAATTTTTTGAAATTATGAACTTTTGCTAAGTGTCATTCCATTGAGCATGAGGCAATTTAACCGTGGTTGATGAGTATAGTCTTCATTTGTCCTCTGTTCAGCTTGTCTATTGCAAGTCTGAATGCTTATGAACAGATAACAAAACTTGTGGAAAGGCCAGTTTGATGGAATAAACACCGACTTTTAGGTAAAATTAATTTCTTTATTTCAAAGTAATTTCAAAGGTGTATTTAGTATCAATAAGAATAGTCTTCTCATACAAATTTATCACTGTGTAACCTACAAGGCCTTTCTGAAATTATTATATAAATGATTATATTTCCCGTTCCACAGCATTGATTTAGGCATTAGCATATTCACTGGATCCATGTTTTGTTCCAATTAGCATCCCATGTATCTCAGCAGGAAACATCACGGAATGTATTGTGGAAGGGCATGCTTGTTTTATTTAACAACAAACATGAAAACCATACTGAAAAACTCAAAAAACTTCATGAGATCATGTCCTTTGCAGTAACATAGATGGAGCTGGAGGCCATTATCCTAAGCAAACTAATGCAGGAACAGAAAACCACCTACTGCATGGTCTCACTTATAAGTGGGAGCTACACAGTGAGAACACATGGACACAAAGAAGGGAACAACAGACACTGGGACCTACCTGAGGGTGAAAGGTGGAAGGAGGGAGAGGATCAAAAAACTACCCATCAGGTACTATGCTTATTACTGGGGAGATGTAATAATCTGTACACCAAACCCCGTGACGTGCAGTTTACCTACATAACTAACCTGCACATGTACCTCTGAACCTAAAAGTTAAGAAAGAGAAAGAACTAAGAGAAAAGAAGAGAGAATCTGAAATTACGTGCCTCCTGATGAAAGACACACCATCTCATATAATCTTGCCAGAACTGACTACTAACAAGAAGTTTTCAAATAACAGAGAAACTTATTGAACCATACATGAATATGCAAGCAACAAAATCCAGACTGTGGAACACTACAGTTTCAGGATATAAATTTTACAGAAAAGGAAATGTTGGATGGGGGACTTGTAGATTAAAAGAGATTTAAGATATACACTAAAATGTTTTAAATGGCTAATATTAAACTATGGTTTCTGGGGATGCACAGTTAGGTGAAAAGGCCATATGAGTATATAAGAAAGTGATTAAAAGTTCTGATAGTAGTTACTTTGGGGGACAGGAAGGGGTTGAGATCATGACAGATCACATGCAGGTACTTTTGGGTGCCTGCACAGTTCTATCTCCTGACTTTGGTGGTGGTTCCAGGGGTGTTTCCTTCATAATAGCTCATTAAACTGCACATTTATTTGGGGAGAAAGAAGTTCACATGCTGACTTTCTTTCCCTGATCATCTATCTGCCCTTATTTATTTCATGTTACCAACAGCTTCCAACTTACCAAACCTGTTAATCAGTTCTTAGTCCTGTTACTCAACCTCTCAGTAGCATTTAACTGATACGTCTCAAGTATTGCTTGAAATGTTTTCTTCACTTGGCTTTTAGGCTACCACGCTTCCCTGGTTTACCTTCCTTTCTTAGCATTCCTTCTCTATCTCACTTTCTAACTTGTCCTCTTTCCCACCTCTAAGTTTTGTTGTAGGACTCAGTCCTTGGATCTGTTTTCTCTATTTGCATTTACTCTCTAGGCTCGTCCAGTTCCCATAGCTTTAAATACCATCCATATGCTGAGAATTCCAAATTTATATTTTTAGCCCCATCTTCTGTGAGCTCTAGCCTCATATAACCAATTTGCATGTTTGACATAAACACTTGGTCATAGAATGAGCGTCTCAAACTTAGCGCACCCAAAAAGACATAAGAAAAAGAAAATCCATTGGTTATCACTCTACCCTACGACCTACTCCAATTTTTCTCTTCTCTGTAAATAGCATAACATTTACTCAATTGTGTAAGCAAGTAATCCAGAAGTTATCTTTGGTTCTGCTCTTTCTCCCTACTGTCTATATTCTTAAGTAAGTCTTGTTGACACCACTTTCAAAATACATTCCAAGTCTAACATTTCTCATCACTACCATCTCACCTAAATTATTGCAGTCATTTTCTATTGATCTCTGCACCTACTCTTGCCCCTTCTCAGTTTCATTGTAGCTACAGTAGTCTTTTCAAATATTTATATTTAATCATTACCATGATCAAGATCCTCTAACAGCATCCCCTCATATTTAGAATAAGATCTAAACTTCTTACCATAGTTTACAAACTGTATCCTCTGGCCTTTCCCTCTCTTACCAACCTCATCACCTACCACTCATTACCTAGCTTATTCTGCTTTTCCTAAACTGACCTCCTTGCTCCTCCTGTAGTATACCAAGATCCTTCCTGCCTGTTTGTCCTTTGCACTTGCCATTTCCTTTGCCTGAAACATCTCCCAGAGCTTCATGTAGCTTGCTCTTTCATTGTATCTTTCTACTGAGATGTTACCTGTTCTCTCATAATACTTACTTCCTCTAGTCATTCTGTTAGATCCCTGCTTGTTTCTTTATCATGTATCATCTTCTGTCTTCTCCATGGAATTATATGCTCCCAAAGGGCAGGGACTTGCTCTTATTCACCAGTGTGTACCCAGTGCCTAGAATAGTATCTAACACATGGTAGATGCTTGCAAATATTTTTTTTTAGACGGAGTTTTGCTCTCGTTGCCCAGGCTGGAGTGCAATGGCGCAGTACAAAGATTTATTCGATGAATGAATATACCATTTTACTGAAATAGATGTTTGACTCATAGGCAAATTGATTCTCCTTTTCTCTAGCAACAAATAATTTCCCATTACTTCTCTCTAGTACTTGACACTGTGTGTCTTCCAACACCCTCCTCTTCTAATGTTGGTATTTCAGTACAACCAGCCACCTACCATATCACTGTCTCACACACCATATCCTATAAATTGTCAACTCTTGTTCATCCTTCTTTTGTATTTTGCTTCTTAAATGTGTGCCTCCTTCTGTATCTCCTTTCCTAGTTGAAACCTTTATCATCTCTTACTACTTGATTGCAGTAACCTCCCAGCTTCTCATTTTGTCTTAGTACATCCTCCACATTATCATCAGACTTTAAATTATACATATGATTTATCTTTGTATCCCTTGCAGCATCTATCACTTTTTGTTTTTTCAATAGTAGGCACTCAGTGAATGTTGAATGAATAGTCCTGTTTCTGGAAAATAGAATTGGTGGGCCATGTGATTACTTTAATGGCTATAATTCTTTGAAAAGAATTTATGCTTAAATAATCACTCTTTAATCCTGTTTTAGAAATGCTGTAGCAATTCTTTGTTGTCCATTGTTTTTAATGGACTTGTAAAGTGACTATAATCACACAATATATTATTGGGTTGTTTCACAGTGGAATTTTCTTTACTGCTTTAATAGAATTCAAGTAATATCTGTACTTCTGTATTAAAATGATTCTTTCTTTTCTCTTAAGCTAAAGTCTCCAGTGAATATTGAATTGCTGAGGAATTTGGGAAAAGACAAATCAAAGTTCCCATTCCATGGATCCCTTAGGTGCGCCTTCCCAGTTTGTGGATGTGGATGCACTACCAAGCTGGGGTGACTCATGCCGAGATGAATTAAATTCCTCTGATACTACAGCTGAAATATTTCAGGAAGATACTGTTCGATCACCTTTTCTTTATAATAAGGACATCAATGGAAAAGTAGTTCTTTGGTAATTATTTGATTACATCATATCCTGAGGAGATAACACTTTCTCATAATTTATTCTGACCTCTTTGTAAGCTCTAGCATTGTTGAAATACAGCTTTACATATACATATATGATTTTATTGAGGTATAATTGACATTTAATAAACTACATATTTAAAGTACACAATATAAGTTTTGACTTGTTAACACATCCATGAAGCTATCACCACAATCAAGATAGTGAATATACCCATCACCTCCAAAAGTTTTTTTTTCTGTTCCTTTGTAATTCCTCCTTCCTGCGCTTCCCTGCCTCCCCATCCCCAAGCAACCACTGATCTTCTTGTCACTATAGGTTAGTTTGCATTTTCTAGGGTTTTATTTAAATTGAACTGTGTGCTTTTTGGTCTGTTTTCAGCAGAATGATTTAAGTTCATCTGTGTTTTGTGTATCAGTAGTAGTTCATTGCTTTAAAAAACTGCTTCACTGAGATACAATTCATATACAATATAATTCATCAGTTCAAATTGCACAGCGCAGTGATTTTTAACATAGAGTTGCATAACCTTCACTACAGTCAATTTTAGAACGTGTTCATCAGCCCAAAGCCCCATTAGCAGTCACTCCTCATTTTTCCTTAATCTCCCTAGGCAACCACTAATCTACTTTCTTGTCTCTATAGATTTGCCAATTCTGAACATTTCATATAAATGGAATGAATACAATAAAGTTTGTGGTTTTTTGTGACTTAGCATAATGTTTTCAAGGTTCATCCATATTGTAGTACAAATCAATACTTTATTCTTTTTTTTTTTTTTTTTGAGATGGAGTCTCGCTCTGTCACTCAGGCTGCAGTTCAGTGGCGCGATCTCAGCTCACTGCAAGCCCCGCCTCCCAGGTTCATGCCATTCTCCTGCCTCAGCCTCCCAAGTAGCTGGGACTACAGGTGCCCGCCACCACGCCCAGCTAATTTTTTGTATTTTTAATGGAGACAGGGTTTCACCATGTTAGCCAGGATGGTCTCGATCTTCTGACCTCGCAATCCACCTGCCTCGGCCTCCCAAAGTACTGGGATCACAGGCGTGACCCACCATGCCCAGCCAGTACTTTATTCTTTATTAGGATTGAATAATATTCCCTTGTATGGATATACCACATTTATTAGTTCATTAGTTGATGGATATTTGGTTTGCTTCTACTCTCTGGCCGTTATAAATAATGCTGCTATTTCTAAACATGATGGTTTTGTGAGTTTCAGGGTTATAACAATTGCATTAAAGATCTAAGATGCCAGATTGTTTTTTAAGTCAGAAATTTCTTTTCTACTATTGCTTAGCTTGTGAGCTAGCAAGACCAACATTTTGAAAAAGACAAGGATAAAATGTTTTGAAATAATTAGAAACTAGATTTCTTTTCTTCTTCTTCCCCACATTTGTTCGTTCTTTACTGTTTCTTCAGGAAAGGAGATGTGGCATTACTGAACTGTACAGCCATTGTGAATACCAGCAATGAAAGTCTCACAGATAAGAATCCCGTGTCAGAAAGTATCTTCATGCTTGCAGGGCCTGATCTGAAGGAAGATCTCCAGAAACTTAAAGGTGAGTGAATTTTCTTTCATATGTTATCATTTAAGGAAACATTCATTTTGATGTCCTCTACCTTGAAGAGGCATGTTTTGTGGGAAAATTATATAGATGTAGCTGTTTTTCTTTTGTTGAAACTAAATAAAAACTGCTTTTGAAAGCTCCATTTTAACAAAATTTATTACATTTTGAAATGTGTTAAAAACTGAGTCCTGAGAATTTACTAGCAGTAAAACTTCTTTGTCCTGTCCTGGATTTTAAATGACAATACTGTAGCTGATTAGATCTTTGGTAGCATTTTCTTGGCTGCATATTTTCTTGCACAAAACATGCAAGAAAAGCCTTATGAGATGACTATCCTCCTGAACTGAAAAGCTGTTAAATTACCAACTTTGCAGCCCTTTGTTATTTGAGCCCAAATGAAATACTGTGAAATTCAATCTTCCCATTGTATAAAAACTATTTATGAAATATAGCAATGTTGCTTAAAATGTAAACAGCAAAGTTAACCTGTATAAAATCTTGCTTCCCTTCCCTTCTATCATTTAACACTGACAACTGGTTTCTAACCTAATAAAAATATTAGAACTTGATCAGGAATACTGATAAGTGCTGACTCTATGAAGGAAGGGATAGAATGGGAAGAATTGCATTTTTTGATCCAGAAACTGAATTTTGACTGTAAGGACAGAGTGGGGGAAATGATCGTAACTAAACTGCAAAACAAGATACCATGAAGAACATGTAGAAACTAGAAAAGAGATTGAAGATAATACTGAGAAGTTCTTTGCTAAAAGGAACAGAGAAGTTGGTCTGGAAAAATTCCTAATGGCATGTGTGTGTATGCTTACATACACCTTAGAGCTAGACTTATGAATAATAAAGAAAATAAGAAAATTTAACACAAATATACAAGTAAAACCTCCATATTAAACTGCGTGTTTGAGCATCTCCAAGCTGAGATTCATATTATATAACTCTGCCCTTTACTAACTGTGTGACGTAAGACCGGTTACTTCACCTCTGAGTCTGAGTTTCCTCATCTCTAAAATGGGGATGGTAATGGTAGTTCCTACCTCAGTTCCTGACATATAGCAAGAGCTTAAAATTTAGAGATGGAAAAAACTAATATCTTGAAGACTAAATTAAATAATGGACATTAGGTGCTAAGCACATCCTAAGTGTTCAACAAGTATTATTTCTGGTGTTAGTTATTAGGCCCCAGTTGTGTGTTTAATGAATCGGTGCCAACCTTTAGGTTATTACTAAAGGGCTGCATACTTAATCCTATCCCCTTTTTACATTTTTATTAATGACTTAATAAAAACAAGCATGACTTACCAAATTTGTAGATGATAGAAAGCTAAAAGAGTAACAGGACATACTGGATGATAGACTAAAGATTTTCATGTGACTAGAAGTATAAGCCAAAAAATGAAAAAATTAACGGAGATGAATATTAAAGTTTTGCAGTAAGTTTAAAATGATGGGGAAACATCATTTGTTTAACACTTTATGTCTCAGTAAAATGGCATTATTTTCCATTCCATTTTTCTTTTTCTTTCTTTCTTTCTTTTTTTTTTTTTTTTCCTGAGACAGAGTCTCACTCTGTCACCCAGGCTAGAGTGCAGTGGTATGATCTTGGCTCACCACAACCTCCACCTCCCAGGTTCAAGTGATTCTCCTGCCTCACCCTCCCGAGTAGCCGGGACTACAGGTGTGTGCCACCATACCTGGCTGATTTTTGTATTTTTATTGGAGATGGGGTTTCACCATGCTGGCCAGGCGGTCTTGAACTCCTGACCTCAAGTGATCTGCCTGCTTCAGCCTCCCAAAATGCTGGGATTATAGGCGTAAGCCACCATGTCCAGCCTCCCATTCCATTTTTCTTTTCTAGGAACCCTAGTGTTAACACTTCCCTCTTTCTTATCCCTCACATAAAGTCTATCGTCATGCCCTAAATTAATCTTAAATCTATTTCTGTCTGTCACCACTGTCTCCAGCAGCTAGCATATGCAACCATCATTCCCCGCCTAGGCTACAGCCATATCCTCTGTCCCAACTGGTCTTGCTACATCTATTCTTCGTTTCTTAAATCCATTGTCCACACACAACCAGTAAGTGTAAACCCCTTCTTATTGTTCCTTTACTTCAAACTATTTAGTGACCTCTCATTAAACTTAAATTCTAAACTCCTTAAACTGATCCCCATGTCCTTGCAAGATTTCACTCACTTTTCTCCAGGCTTATCCCATGCCCCCTTTTCCCTTCCTTACCATGCTTAAGCCAAACTGATCTCTTCTCACTACCTTGCCATCCAAGCTCCTTTCCAGTTTTGCACTTGCTGTTGTTCTTTCTCTCAGTTGTCAACCTTTATTCTTAAGTCTTGGCTCGTATCTCTTCCTCAAAGCACTATTTCTTTTTACTTCAGAATAGATCAGACTACCCATAGTATATGCTCCCAGCCTGCAGTACTTCTCTCTTGTTTGCTTATCACAGTTGTAATCTTGTAAATTGTCTTGTGGTAACTGTATCCCCATTAAACTGTAAACTCCATATGGACAAGAACTGTATGTCTTTTATTACTACTTTTTAGGAGTAATAAATTGGAGTACACTTAACAGAAAATTACTAACATTGTGGAAACCACATTATTTAAAGAGCTAGGATTAGCATAGAGAAGAGAATATTTGGGGGAAACAGTACTTATTCTCAAATACTTGAAAAAGGATCATATTGAAGAGGGAGAATGATAATCATAGTGGGTACCTAGAATCCTTGATAAGAAGATACATAAAACTGTATGTCAGTTCAGTTAGTATCTAAGCATCAATACTAAAATCAGAATAGGCAGAGTTGGCTTATTGTGCCCAAATTTCCCCCCTGAAAAAAAAAATCAGTCTTATATTCACTTTGTGAATTTAGAAATTTTATGAAACTAAACCTATGTGAGGTTTGTTTGTTGTTTGAACCTGTATGTGGGTGTGGATGTATACATACACTCTTATATCTTTTCATACCAAAATAAAGTAATTGTGTGTATGCTATTCTCAAAATAAGGTAATCATGTACGTATTCTGCAATTTGCCTTCTTCAGCAAATGAATTCCACCTTTTAATTTCAGAAATTACATCCACTACCCAAACCATATTTAAAATTTCCAGCTGATCCAAAAATGTCCTTTGTAGCAGCTATTTTATCCAAACCAGCATCCAATGCAGGACCACACATTGCATCTTTTTTGTTATGTTTATTAATTTGTCTCTGTGTGTGTGGTATTTTGTAATCCAGTACGGTCTCCTGTCTATGACACTGACTTGTTGACTGAACAAGGCCAATTATTTTTCACAGTATTCCTCCTTCTAGATTTGTCTGATTTACTTGAAGTGCCATTTAGTTTGTATTTCCTATAAACTTGACATTATGTCTAATGGAGTCAAGTTTTGCCTAAAATATTACATAGGTGATGTTGTGTTGTCTACTTAATGTTGTATCGTGTTAGACCTGTTAGTGGGCCATTACTCATACGAAGATGGCTCTCTTAATTGGAGTGAAGACAACAGTTTGATCCTTCCATTTTTTTCTTGCCAAGGTCCCTCCTGGAACCCTCCATCCTCCCTTTCCTCTCTAGACTGTTCTCTATGCCTGCTGCGCAGTGTCTGTTCTGGAACTTTTTTTTAACATCATCCTGGGAAATCCTTTTTTCTGTTCGATAGATTAGATCTCTTATTTTATTTTATTTTATTTTATTTTTGATGGAGTCTTGCTCTGTTGCCCAGGCTGGAGTGCAGTGGCACGATCTCGGCAAGCTCCGCCTCCTGGGTTCACGCCATTCTCCTGCCTCAGCCTCCCGAGTAGCTGGGACTACAGGCGCCCGCCACCACGCCCAGCTAACTTTTTGTATTTTTAGTAGAGATGGGGTTTCACCGTGTTAGCCAGGATGGTCTCCATCTCCTGACCTTGTGATCCGCCTGCCTCGGCCTCCCAAAGTGCTGGGATTACATGCGTGAGCCACCGCATCTGGCCTGGATCTCTCATTTTTGTGAGTAAATCTACCAGGAGATTTTAAAGAAGGATACAATATGGCAAAACTACTGAGATTTTACTTCCACCTTCGTACTTAGTTGGTAATTTGCTTAGAAATAGAATTCTAGTTTGGAAATCATTTTCTAGAAATTTGAAGGCACTACTCCTTTGTTTTCTACTTCGATTAGTGCTGTTAAGAAGTCTCATGCTGTTCTTATCCCTGATTGTATGCTACTGGTTTCTTTCTGGAAAGCTTATGGTCTCATCTGTGTTTCTTAGTGCTCTTAAATTTTACAGGGATGTGCCTTCATATGGTTTGGGTGTTTTATGGGCTCTTTGAATCTAGAAACTCATGTCTTTCCATCCTGGTAAATTTTTTTGTTTTATTTCATTAATAATTTCCTTCCTTCTTTATTCTCTGTTCTCTCTGAAGAAATCCTGTTGGATGTTGTATTTTCTTATTTAATTTTTCAGTTTTCTCATCTGTTATCTCTTATTTTCAATTTATTTTTGTTTTATTTTCTGGATTTGTTCAAGTTTAATTTTAACCCTTCTATTGAACTTTTCATTTCTGCTGTCATATTTTTCACTTGGCTATAGGTAAGTGCCATTTCCTGTTCTCTGAATAGTCTGTTTTTATGACATTCTGATTTTGTTTAAAGTTTTCTTTCCCTGTGTTGTCTATTTCTTGAGCATGTGTTTAGTCTCCCCTTTTAGTTTTTGTTAGAGGCTTTTCTCTCTTTCTGGTGGTCCTTAAGTGTTAGCTGTATTTAAGATGGAAGAACTGAAAAGTTCATGGGAAACTTTGTACACATGGGTGTCTAAGTCAGTTCAGGCTGCTATAACAAAGTATCATAGACTGAGTGGCTTAGGAAGAACAGAAATTTCTGGAGACTAAAATCCAAGATCAGGGTGCCAGCATGGTCAGGTTCTGCTAAGGGCTGTCTTCCTGGCTGCAGACTGCTGAGTTTTCATTGTGTTTTCATGTGGCAGAGAGAGGGAGCAGACTTTCTGGAGACTCTTACAAGGATTCAAATCTCATTCATGAGGGCTCTGCCCTCATGAGCTTATCTAATTCTAATTACCTCCCAAAGACCCTACCTCCTAACACCATCACATTAGGGGGTAGGGTTTTAACATACAAATTTTGAGGGAACCCACGCATTCAGTTCACAACAGTGGGCAAAGGTTATTGCCTGGTGGGTCTTGAAGCATATGACAGAATGGGACTCCTGCCTGTTATTTTATTGGGGAACTTTCCCCGTTTATCATAATCTGTAGGTCCTTTAGGTTTGGGCCTCTCAGTTTCTTGGAAAGGAATCCTCCATGAGCGCAAGCCTAGATGTCTGTTTTGAAAGCCATTTGGGGGCTGAGGGCTAGACCTTTCACTGTTAAGTATAACACTTTAACTAAATCCCCTCTTTTCAGCTGTGCCTGGGGTTCTGGAATCCAGAAACTCTCTAGTTGAGCATCTCCAGAGAATAAACTTCTTCCCTGCTGCTCTGGTGGTAAAAAAAAAAAAAAAAAAAAAAAAAAAAAAAAAAACCTAGCCTTACTGTGCTGGCTGGGGGAGGGGTTGTTGCAGATTTGACTGTCTTTATACAAACTTTTAACCGGGCCTCCTCTTTTTAGCGCCACATCCCACTTCACAGCATAGCCTTTACAAGTACTTGGGCTCCAATTTCTGAGCCTTTTTAGCTTTCTCTAGTAATAATAACAATAATTGCTAATGCATGTACACACTTTGCATATACTCGTTTAATCCTGTGAAGTAAGTACTACTAGATCCCTCTTAAATAGGAAATTGAGTTGTGACGAGGCCAAGCCCCTGCCCAGAGTGTCTTGACAGGAACGTGGTAGACTCAGGATTTGAATCAAAGCTGTCTGTCATGTATCCAACACTGCTCTTTAGTACAGATCAACTTGCCTCGTATTAGTTATCTCATTTCTACAAGCAGTTAGGTTTCTCTGCTCTGTTGAGTCAGTTACTAGTCAGTTGACATTCTACCTTCCAAAATTTTGATGATGCTTATCTGCTTCATGTTCTTTCTCATTCTTTTTATCTGTCGCTGTGCTTATACCTGTTGTACTGCTTCACTGTCATTATCCAACAGAAGGAACAGAGATAAATGCTTATGTTCAGTCTGTATTTTTAACTGAAATTTCTCAAAGTTCTCAGTACTTTCTCTGTTTCATGCTTTCATTTGTTTTTGTTTTTGTTTTCCTAACACGTCCAAACTTAGGTATGTTTCCATTGTTTCCAGGTTGCCGAACAGGTGAAGCAAAATTGACAAAAGGATTCAATCTAGCTGCCCGGTTCATCATTCACACAGTGGGACCTAAGTATAAGAGCCGCTATCGCACAGCAGCTGAGAGTTCCCTTTATAGCTGCTACAGAAACGTACTTCAACTAGCAAAGTATGGTCTACTCATTTTCTGGACATAGCATATCAGACATTGTTAAAGGCCCCAGTTTTTTAAAGACAAAAGCCCCAGTTTTTAAAGATTAAAAACCTAGCAGTGGAAGTCAAATTTTAGGTGATTTAGGAGGACCCTGACAATAGAATTATCTTTTCAAACTTAGCAGGATAAATGGGATAGATTTGAGTGACTTGAGAATTTAACCTTTTCCCATTTTTTATTCAGTTTTTATGTGAAATATGTGTCCTCCAAAGAGTGCAATTAAATTGTATATTAATATAATTTTTGAGTAGTACAGTTGGGTTAGCTTTTATAGTAGATTTGTTGAAGAGGGAGAAAAGGAGAAGTTGAGCTAGATTTTGAAATTAGTTATGTATTGTGTATGTATTACAGATGTTTGTAGTGCAATTTTTGTGTTTTCCCTGTGGTTGCAGAGAGCAGTCAATGTCTTCTGTTGGCTTCTGTGTCATCAATTCTGCAAAACGTGGTTATCCTTTAGAGGATGCAACACACATAGCACTTCGTAAGTAATGTTGGAGAAGCTGTACATGAATTGAATCTTTAAAATTTTTAAAATTCTGGGCATGGTGGCTCACACCTGTAATTCCAGCAACTTGGGAGGCTGAGGCAGGGGGATCACTTGAGGCCAGAAGTTTAAGGCTGCAGCGAGCTGTGATTGCATCTATGAATAGCCACTGCACTCCAGTCCGAGCAACATGTAGTGAGACCTCATCTCAAAAAAAAAAAAAAGGGTTTTTTTTTTAAATCATTAAATAGTTATAGCCAAAGAATATTCATTGATTAAATGATTGTAGCACCCTGGAGGGAAGTTTTTATTGGCAAGCTGCAGAGCTCTCAATTTACTTTTTTAGGTTGACATTTTTCTCCATTTGAATAAAGGGTTAGAAGACTTGCCTATTAGTTTTTTTAATTTAACAGAATTTGATTGAGCAAAGAACGAGTCTGGAGTTGGGCAGCCCCCAAAACCTGTATAGGTTCAGAACAGCTAGCCTCTTGAATTTGAAAGTGATGCTAAGTTAGAAAGTATGGCTAATGCATTGAGTAGTTAAATCACAATTTAGAATAATCTTAACAGTGCAATAAATGCAGTCCGATTTCATGATATCATATTTGTATAACACTTGGCAGTTTAAATAGCCACATTCACACATGCTGTTTGAATGTAAAACTACATTTAGGTTTTCAAAGACTGGGCTCAATCAATGTGAGCCAAATGTCTGTATGTGACATAAAAATATGGCATTCAGCTAAAGAGAGTCCATGATCTCACTGTATATATGCAGATTTAGACCACATCTCAAGTTTTATATTTATTTCTGTGTGTCATATTTCCATGATCTCACTGAATATATGCAGTTTTAGACCACATCTCAAGTTTTATATTTATTTCTGTGTGTCATATTTCATGAGACACTGACAAACAGGAGGGCAGTTTGAAACGGTAGTGGTGTTTCTTCTAAAGAAGAGCATGCTTTTAGAAAATATGATGTCCATCTTCAAATATCTGAAGGAGTCTCATTGTGAACTTATTCTGTGCTACATTTTTCAGGCAGCAGTTCTTTCGGATGTTGTCATAAACTACAATGAGCATCTGGTGAAAGAACACTGTGAACCCATTGTCAAGAAAAATGTGCATAAATACAGAATTTGCATGTTATTTCAGGAAGTTTACAGATCCTCATCAGGATTATAGATAAGAACTCCAACATTACAAGGCAAGGTCTAAGACCAAGTTATAAGGAAGAAAATGTTTTTGGTAGTACTAACTGTAACAGAAAAGTATTTTAGCAATCTTCTTGTCACTAGGAACATTCATGCAGAGGTTACATGACCATTTGTTGCAGCTATTATAGAAAACACTTCTCATTTCAAAGACAAATGATACTAAATGATCTTTAAGACCCCCTGTTATCTCTAGAATTTAAAGTTGAAGAGCTGAAAGCCTTATATCCACAAATACCACAAAGATATTTGAATGTATATATTATTATTATGTAGCCTGGAGTTTAGGGTGAGGCTCTGTTCAGTCTTAGTCTTATTTAATTATAAACTATTTTAAAAACCAATATTCTAATTACTCAAGGATTTTATAGTAAATTTGCATATTTTATAATTAAGCTTATATACATTATACTAGACTGAGCTTGGGGGGCAGGAATCTTACCTTTTTATCTTGAATGCTTGACATATGGTACTTGCTCAAGAAATAAGTATTTTAAAAAAGGACAAGTAAATTCCACTTACTTTACTTAACAACCCCGTGTTTTAGGTAGTATGGTGTCCATTGTACAAATAAAGAGGCTCAGAAATTTCTCCTATTGTGAGAGTTATGCAGACTTGGAGCATATATCCAGACCTTCTGACTCCCAAGTCTAGTAACCTGTCTGCTATACTAGATGATTCATTATGCTTGAGTTAGAACTGCTTCAGTGGAAGACTACTCTGTCATTACATGCCTGTCTTCTAAATGGTACCTAACCAAAGCAAAATTCCTGCCTTGATATCATTGCTCCTGACAAGGCTTTTGACTGGTCTCTGCATTCTCTGACAGCTATGTCCTGTCATCTCATAGCTTCTTTTATATATCTATTTTTTATGAAGGTAATCGTAAGGATTGTATTTTAAAGAGGCAGCATTATTTTGTATAAAAGGTTCTTAATAGGGAGTTAAGAAGACTGGTTTTTAGTTCTAATTCTACCAGTCCAACTCTAGCTCTGTGGCCCTAGACAAATCACTTGATACAGTACTATAAGAGACGTCAACTTTGAGAGTAGCAGCAGATAAAGATCGATAATGGGTATAAGGGAGTTTGATGAAGCAATTTCTAGAAATATGATTAGCAAAAAGGAAATGTACAACTCTTAAAAAGTGGGCACATTTGACTTATTAGGCCTTAAATCTAGTGGCAAAACTGTAGCATCTCATTCAAACACACAGAAGATAATGCCTTTTGCTTGAATATTTTATCAGGCATTTGGAAAACAAATGACTTGTACACTTTAGTAACATATATGGGCCAAGAACAGATCTAATGATATAACTCTAAGTACTTGGTATCAAAAGCTTTCTTATTAAACTCTTATCAAAATTTATTTCATTTGAAGCCTAAGTAATGTTTTTGGTAGATATATTAAGACTTGTGCTTTTTTTTTCTTAGTTCATGTGCAGTTTGTTTTTCCCCAGAAGAAGTATCTGCATTGAAATAAATTTATCAGGTTATTTATTCATCCAATAAAAATTTGAGTGACTACTATGTACTGTATACAAAATAATACAGTGGCGAGAAATAAGATGAAGGTGTTTGTTCTTGCGGTGTTTCCAGATGGAGAATTATAATGTCCTAGATATCATTCTTACAATTTATAGAGTATTCACTAGATGTTTAAGCACAGGACATCATGATTGGTTGCAGAGATAGATGAAATTTTGAAAGGAGGAGCGTGGTCTGACCTTTAGTACTAAAACCGTAGAGTCATGACATCATTCTTCTTCACTGCTTTTGCAGAGTTAATTTTCTACATGAGTTCCACTGAGAGAATTCAGTTTGGTTGCTATTTGGTATTGTATTTTATCTTCCAAAGGAAATAATATAATTATATTCTGGGAAACTATTATGCATGAACATTAAAACTTGATGTCAAAGTAAATAGGAAACAGAAAATCCTTATGTTTTGTTTTGTTTTGTTTTGTTTTGTTTTGTTTTTTGAGATAGAGTCATACAGTGTCACCCAGGCTGCAGTGCAGTGGGGCAAACACAGCTCAATGCAGCCTCAACCTCCTGGGCTCAAGTGATCTTCCCTTGTTAGCCTCCTAGGTAGCTAGGACTACAGGCATGTGCCACCATACCTAGCTAATTTAAAAAAAAAATGTGGTAAACACAGGGTCTCACTGTGTTCCCAAACTAGTCTTGAACTCAGGCTCAAGTAATCGTCTTGCCCTCACCTTCCAAAGTGCTGGGATTATAGCCATGAGCCCCACACCCTGCTGAAAATCTTTTTTTGAAAGTTCATTTTGAAGAAGCTTTAAAGCAGAATAGAGGGAAAAATGAAAAGTATATTTGTTATCCAACAGGAGGAGAGTTATGAGTGTTTGTTTAATCCTTTAACAAATGGGTTTGCTTTGTCAGGTTCTTGACCTACAATGTTGAACAAAGCAGGCAATATGTAACTGAGCCATAAATTGTTAATTCAGTTACAAGTTACTTTTGAATGATTGCATATCACATCTGTAAGGTGTGCTAGGCCCCAAATTAAAGTAATATTAATATAAAATATGCTTGGTCTTCAAAAAGCTTAGTCTAGCTATAAAATGTGAGAAATTCTTTAAAATGAAGGGTGTTCAAAAGATTCTAGAGGGGACACAAGGAAGGGTGGAGATGGCTCTCGGCTGGGTCTTGAAAAATGAGTAGGAGTTCACCAAAAGAAGAGAATGGTGGATGAGTGGTATTCTAGTCAAAGGTAGGCATGCAAGCAGAGGCAGGGCATCAAGTAAGTGGTATGTTTTGAATACAGCAAAGTAGATTTGGCTAAAGCATAAGATGTGGGAGGAATAATTGAAAATAGGACTAAAGAGCTGAGTGGGGAAAAGTGGATAGTTGGGGTTGGAGTATAGAGAGTCATGCTAGGGTTTTTGAATCTTAACCTGTAAGCAGTGCAGAGCATCACCAGTGTTTAGTAAAGAGGGTAACATGAGAAGATAACTCAGGCAACAGTGAGTATGTAGACTTGGGGAAGAAAGACACAAGGAGAGCAGTTAAGAGCTTGTTACCAAAGTCTGTGTGAGCCTTGAGAACCTGAAAGCAGCCAAAAGAAATGAATAAATGTTAGAAATATTAGCAATAGAATTAAAAGCCATAGGAACTATTTGAAAATGCAGTGTGAAGGAAGAGGTAAAGGAAGCATCAAAGACAATTCAGGATTCTAGCTTGGATGATTGGTTGGATGTTGATATGTAACCAAAATAAGGAATATAGGTAAAAAGGACCAGGCTTGTTGAGAAAAAGATGGTGGTCAGGATTTAGACCTGTTGGGGTCAGGTTTGGCTACACTGAATTTGAGGTCTCTGTGAGTTATCTGATCAGATATACCCAATAGGCGTCAGGTAATTCGGGTCTTTTCCTCAGAAAAAAGAATATAAAGATTTGGGAGCCATCAGCATTTGAGGTAATACCTATCCAGCACATTCGTGAGCCAAGGAGAATAAGTATATCAAAAAAATAAAAAATATTGAAGGCAGAACCCTGGAGGACAACATTTTTAAAAGGTGAGGGCATGTGTGTTAAGGATTAAAGCTAGGGAGAGATCCAATGAGTTAAGAACTGAAGAAAAGGCCAGTAGGTCTTGTTATTAGGAAGCTGATAAAGAAGACTTAGGATAACATAGAAATTAAGAAAAAAATAATTGAGCTTTGGTTTTGTGGAGTTTTTTCAGGGTCTGAAGGGCTGGGTAGGATATCTAATACTGTAACTGAATGAATGGAAAGACACTTGTGCTAGATCATTCTGGCCGAGAGAGGCCCCAGGGAATAAGAATATACTGGATAAGAGAGAATTATCTGGAGTCAGCATCTTCTACGACCAGTCACTGTTCTTGGCATTGGAAATAGAGCAAGAAATACAATAAAGTGTCTTCTGTTATGGAGCTTTCATTCTAGTGAATGAGGTGGAGAGGGCAGGGAGGATAACAATACACAAGTAACTTCATAAAATGTCTATCACAGTTGCTCTGGAGGAAAGCAAATCAGAGAAGAGTTTTTATACAAGTAGTCTGAGCAGGCTTCACTGATAGGGTATTACTAAGCAGAGTCCTGAATGAAGTGAGAAGTGATCCATTACAAAAATAAAACATTGAGGAGTTTGATTTTTCTTTATGTATAAGTAGTTTTTTATTTATTGAGTAATCTTTCTATTCTTTTCCTTAGGCACTGTAAGGAGATTCCTAGAGATTCATGGGGAAACCATTGAAAAAGTAGTATTTGCTGTCTCTGATCTTGAAGAGGTATTTTGCTAATTGTTACATTATTTAAATCTTATTTCTACCTTTAAGCATTTGCCTTTGGCTTATCGCTATATATTTACTGAGTTTCCAGCAGACAAATCCTAATGATCTATGTATGTATTTGAGAGTGGGTCTTACCATCATTCATTGAAAAAGACTATATTGGAAACTAAAAACAAGTCAAGAAGGAGCATTTTGTTCATATTTTTTATAGCTAAACTGTTGTCGCTGTGAGTGAAATCTTGCAAAGTGGAGTTGTTTTGCTTGGCCCCTGTGTTAGCTCTCAAAGCAACACCTTCTAAGCACTGAGTGTTTGGGGAGCATAACTGGAAACTACTATGCCAGAAAAGCTTTGGTGTGTGCCTGAGCAGGTGACAGCCTAGCCCTGTGGCTGGTACTGTGAGGTTTATATGTTTTGTTATATGTAGTTCAGTTTAATATATTTCAATGTAATGTCAAGCCATTTTAGAAAATCAGTTTCTTCTTATCTCATTACACTTTAATTTTAGAGTGATTTGTCTAGTTCAGCTTCTAATATTTCCCAGTTTTGTATTATTGAGCAAGTTAACCTCTCTGCTTCAGTAAAATAGAAATACTGATAGTACCTGTATCAGGTTTTTCTTGATAATAAAATGAGCTAGTATATTCATATTAGCTATCTATTAGTGAAGTATCTATTCAAGGCATATATAGGTACATATATAATATATATGTACCTTTGAATTTGCTGTAAAAAAGGCACATTTACTTTATCTCTTGTTTCATCTGCTTTATTTATACATAGAATCTTCCAGTGATCTTTTACTGAGTGTTTGCATATATCAGGTTTACTATATTAGGTCCTGGGAATATACCAGTGAAAAAAGCATGGTTGTTTCCTCAAGGAGCCTTTATCCTTTTATGGAAATAGATAATTCAGATACATTCAGATAAGTGATAAGTGCATTAATGGAGGTATGGGAAGGATAGGACATAACTTTAACCTGGCACGGGGTTAGGAAATGCTTCCCATAGGAAGTGATACATAAGTTGAAATAATTGTAAAAGGTACATAAGATTTGCCAAGGGAGAGAGGCAAGTGGCAACAGTCCTACAAGCCTGAGCAAAGACATGGAAATAAGACATAGCATCGAGTGTTTAGTATTGGTGTTGCATAAAATGTGAGGCTGAGAGTGGCAAAAATGAAAGTTAGATAGGGATAAGATCATTCAAGGCCTTGTGTCACATCCTGTAAAATTTAGACTTTATTAATTACGCAATGGGAAACAGAAGAGCTTTACACAAACAAATGATGTCATCTAATTTCTGTTTTAGCTGTGTGAAGGATGGTTTGGAAAGAGAAAGACTAATGGCAAGAAGAGATAACAGGTGCTTGCAGTACTCCACATGAGAAATGACCAGGCCTGAACAAGGGTACTGGTAGTGTTAAAATTTTAAACATTTAGTAAATAAATTCAACTGGAGTTGGTGGTTGATTAAATACATACGGGAAAAGGAGTTAAACATGACTTCTAGGTTTTTGGCTTGAGTGACTAGGTAATGATGCCGCCATTGAGATAGCAAATAGAAAGTGGGAAAAGTTTTGGAGATGGGATGAAGACAAATTATTTTCTGAACACGTTGAGTCTTAGAGGATCAGTGGATCATCAGGGCAGAGGCTCAGCAAACCATTGTGCTTATCAGTTTGAAGCTGAGGAGTGAAGTCTAGGTTAGAGATTTGTCCATTTTCATAGGATAGGATACAAATGAGATATGGCTCTTGCTCTCAGGGAGTTGGCAGACTAATGCTGAGACAACCAGATAAACAAAGATCACCCTACAGTGTGGCAAATGCTCCTCTAAGGCATGCACCACAGTGCCCTGGCAACTTGACACCTGACTCAGATTTAGAGGAACAGACTTTGCCCTCAGTATACCTGGGAAAGTAATCAACATTTACCATCTTTTTCTCAAGTCATTTGTGAATAATTTATAGAAGAATAAAGGGATAATGAAAAGCAAGTTTATTAGACATTTTAGTAAGAATTTAAACATAACAAACCTCTTTGTATCAAGTAAATACTGTTGCACAAACATAAAAAATGAAAGAATACTGTCACACATCCTTTTAGTAAAATGAGATTGTCCAGGTTCCTATCACAAAATAGTATGTGATTAAGTTCTTCCTGTTAAATGACGGAATGAGAATACCATATTTTCTTTTGTCCTTGGAAATACACAGTGGCTCTTGCCTGTAATCCCAGTACTTTGGGAGGCTGAGGCAGGTGGATCACCTGAGGTCAGGAGTTCAAGGCAGGGCAGGACTTATAGTTTAGGACTGGCTAGTTTGAATAATTCCAGCAGACTCTGGACTATAGGAGTAATCTCTAGATTCCTGATACCTGGCCCTTGATTATTTAGACCAAGAGAAATATTTGCATAGTATGTAAGAGTTAGATAAGAAAATGATTAGAACTGTAGATTTGGGATTGGTTGGTTGGCATATGCAAGATGTGCTTTTTACTATCTTTAGGAATTAGTTATCCCTTACAAGGACAGTCTTCCCAGGCCAGAAAGCTTTTTAAGATGTGAAAAACATCATAAAATAGAAAAAAAAAAAAAATGAAACGTAATTAACATACATTTATTTAAAGATACAGATAGCCAGTAAACACTGCAAAAGTGCTCCACACCATTAACCATTAGAGAAATACAAGTAAAAACCACAGTGGATACCACTTCACACCCACTAACATGGCTATAATTATGAAGGGAGACAATAACAAGTGTTGGTGAGGATGTGGAGAAATTGGAACCCTCATAGGTAGTTAATTGGAATGTAAAAATGGCACAGCTACTTTGGAAAACAGTCTGGCAGTTCATGAAAAAGTTAAACATAGAGTTACCCTATAATGCAGCAGTTTGACTCGTAGTTGTATACAGAAGAGAGTTGAAAACATTTATGTCCACACAAAAATTTGTACACAAATATCTGTAGTAGCATTCTTTATAATAGCCAAAAAATAGAAACAACTGAAATGTCATCAAGTAATGAATTGATATAAAAAAAAGTGGTGTGTGTATGTGTGCGTGCATGTGTGTTAGAATATTATTCAGCCATAAAAAAGGAATGAAGTATTGATACATGCTACAACATGGGTGAACCTTGAAAACATCATGCTAAGTGAAAGAAGCCAGACACAAAATGCCACATACTGTATTCCATTTTTATTTTTATTTATTTATTTATTTATTTATTTTTTGAGACAGAGTCTCGCCCTGTCGCCCAGGCTGGAGTGCAGTGGCACGATCTCGGCTCACTACAACCTCCAAATCCCAGGTTCAAGTGATTCTCCTGCCTCAGCCTCCCAAGTAGCTGGGACTATAGGCGCATGCCACCACACCTGGCTAGTTTTTTGTATGTTTAGTAGAGATGGGATTTCACTGTGTTAGCCAGGATGGTCTCCATCTCCTTACTTCATGATCTGTCCGCCTCAGCCTCCCAAAGTGCTGGGATTACAGGCGTGAGCCACCGAGCCTGGCCTTTTTTATTTTATTTTATTTTATTTTATTTTATTTTTTGAGACAGAGTCTTACCCTGTCACTAGGCTGGAGTGCAATGGTGCAATCTTGGCTCACTGCAACCTCCACCTCCTGAGTTCCAGTGATTGCCCTGCCTCAGCCTCTCGAGTAGCTGGAACTACAGGCGTGTGCCACCATGCCCGGCTAATTTTTTTGTATTTTAGTAGAGATGGGGTCTCACCATATTGGTCAGGTAGATATCGATCTGACCTGGTGATCCCCCTGCTTCGGCCTCCCAGAATGCTGGGATTACAGGTGTGAGCCACCGTGCCAGGCCCTGTATTTTATTTTTATGAAATGTCCAAAAATAGGCAAATTCATAGTGACAGAAAGAAGATTAGTAATTGCCAGGGGTGGGAGAGGAAGGAATGGTGAATGATTGCTGATGGGTTTTAGAGTGATCAAAATGTTCTGGAATTAAATAGTGGTGGTGATTGTACCTCCTTTGTGAATATTGTGTATGAAAAAATCACTGAAACTGGGTTTGGTGGTGTACACCTGTAATCCCAGCTACTTGGGAAGTTGAGATGGGAAAAATACTTGAGCCCAGGAGTTTGAGAACAACCTGGGCAGCATAGCAACACTCATCTCAAAAAAGAAAACAAAAACAAACACTGAATTGTATACTTGTATACTTTAAAAGGGTGAATTTTATAGTATGTGAATTCTATCTCAGTTTTTTGCTACGGGCAACACAATATGAAACTGAAAGATAATGATTTCTTGAATGAGTTCATTGTCCTAGGTGATTCCATAATTTTTTTCTTTTTATTTTGTTTGTCTTTTTTAGTATAGTTTGTAATAATTGATGAGTAATTCTAGGTAATGAGAAAACGATTCCTAGGAAGATGAAAAAGCAAAATGCTTCAAGATGTAGGACAAATAAGAGCATACATGCCTTTAATGTATTGCAGATTTATTAGTCCAGTGGACCAATCAATATGGGAATTACAAGATAAGATGAGTTTTATTGTTTTTTTTTTAAGTACATCTTTGTTCTTTGAAAAAATTTTTAAGAAAGAATAAATATCATGAAAGAGAAATCCTTCACAAACAACTCAGAAGCTAAACCTGGTTGAACGGACCCTGATGGCACAATGAGGGTTAAGGAAGTAGCTAGCATCTGAGCCAAATCTTGAGAGACTGGTATCGTCAGGAAGTGAAGGTACGGATAGGGACAGGAGTGGCAGGACTTATGCATTCCAGGTTCAGTGACCTGAAATTGTTAGGATGGGCAGGCATCACATTTAACTTGACTAGATAACAATATCCTTATCTTTAACACAAAAGCTGATTGAGGGTTCCGGACAGTATCTAGTCTGAGCTCAGAAGTCGTAAAGTCTTTATTCTTGATGGAGGTTGTCTTCACAGTGTATGAACAGCTCAGCTAAGTACTGCTGAGGTCTTCTGTGTTTTGTGCTATTTTTCACAGAATGTCTTGCTTTTCTGACACAGGCTACTTACCAAAAGCTGCTACCTCTGTACTTCCCAAGGTCATTAAAAGAGGAGAATCGATCATTGCCGTACCTACCTGCAGATATTGGAAATGCAGAAGGGGAGCCTGTGGTACCCGAACGACAGATTAGAATAAGCGAGAAACCTGGCGCTCCAGAAGGTGAGCTCTAGAGCTCTAACTTTTTAAATCTCCCTCTTAAGGAGCAAAGATAAGGCACCAATCACCGAAGAAGTAAGAGATTCAGCTTGACCTTTGGAAAGCTCTCTGTTACCATGACACTACTATCAAGACCAGAGTAGAAGTTTTTGAGTTCTATTCTTGAAATTACAAATACAATTTGGATGGATGGATGGATGGATGGATGGATGGATGGATGGATGGATGGATGGATGGATGGATGGATGGGTGGGTGGGTGGATGGGTGGGTGGGTGGGTGGGTGGGTGGATGGATGTCAAGTCTGTGTTAGACAGTGGAGATTAAGAGGTGGCTATAACAACATTCTCACCCTGATGGAGGTTATAGTTTCATGCAGGACACTGCTGAGATAGTGAAGTACGTTATTGTCTAACATTTTGAACAGCTTTCAGTATCCTCTAAAAATCATACCTAACATTAAATACTAAGACAAGAATATTATAACCATTCATTTTGTTTCTTCGGGTTATGTACTGTCGTAGGTTGGAGCAGTAGGTAGAATGTGTTAGGATGGGGACCTTCTGAATCTACTCTGCGTGACATCTTGTAGTGATGGTCGTGTGTACATGTTTAAGGTCTTAAGTCCCTTCTGTGGAGATATGCCTCACACGCTTCAGTGCTGGGACTGAATCGTGTAATCCAGCAGTTTAGGGAATTACTATGAAATTCCTAGGGTGAATATTTCTTTTAAAAATGAGCACCAAGCCAAAATTGGTAGGAAGCGACTCAAGATTTTATCACAAGTACATAGACTTTCATCAAGTGGAGAGAATTATAAGTGGTCTAGCATCAGAAAATGAGAAATATCTGGAAACCAAGCTTTGCTGAAGGGGTGCCCATGCACTTTGGGTGAGCGTCCAGTATAGTATATCCTTGAAATAATGCAAAGAGTTGTTTTGAAATCCTCATGCCTGTGACTACCGTAAAATTTTTCTTTCATAAAATGCATTTAGTGTGATAATGAGTGGTGAACAGCAAAACCACTTTGAGTGCTGGACAGTAGATAAGACTCATTGATTTGCTAAAAGATTCTCTTCTATCCACCATTCCCAGAGTGTTTGATTTGCATTCATATTTCAGAAAATACTTTTTGTGATAGATGTACACCTTAGCATTCTTATTTTCAAGTAGAATGTTAAATCTGTTAAAATATGTGTAACCAAGCTTTACTTGAAGGGTGTTTTTAATGAAAGCGGGCCTTTCCAATCTATTGGCCTGTCAGTTTGAGGAGCAGTGAAGTAGACGTGGGGAAACTCCAGCTGATTGTCCACCAGGTTGGAATTCAAGTGCTGTCATTGCCTTGGGAATGTCCCCCATGGTACAAGGTTTGTTTTGTTTTGTTTTGTTTTTGCGTAACATCTACCAAGGCAGTGAATACCACACTAAGAGATAATCTGTTCCCAAGAGACTGATTTCTACTCATCCAATTCACAGTGGTTGTGTGGACAGATTAGAAAGTTAATTTATTAATTTGTAGTGAGAACTGTAACTCTTACGGATCAAAATAACTAGGTTTGTATGACAGTGTAGAAAACCAGGATGCTAAATTATAACTGAAATATTTCTTAAGGAATGTGGATCATACTCTGTGATCCTGGTACATCCATCTTGGGATGTTACCTCACAGAACAGCTGAGGTTTATGCAATCAAATGCTTCCTCTTTCAACAGTGCTATATAAACCTTCCTAAATGCTTGTTTTTTATACTTCTTTTTTGTCAGATGCTGTGCAATGAGCCATCGTTAAACCCAGATACAATCTAGTTACTTCCGTCTTTTTGTGTGTGATTACATTCTACTCTTTTCTTCCTAGGGTTACACCCAGGTCACCCTGATTGGATCTCACATATTGCTAAACCTTTGTCACACATGGACAGGCAGTTTCTTTCATTATTTCAGTTTTACAGATGCCTAAATCTGATTACAGTTTCATTCTCAAAAATAATCTTGACCCCAGTTTTTTGAGTTACCTCACTGTCATCCTTACTACAGCATTCACAATCTGTTTCATTTACTGTCTAGTTTTAGCATAAGCTCTCTGTTGATAGTAGCATTTTTGTTACAGATAACCAAGAAGAGGAGGATGAAGGCTTGGGAGTTGATCTCTCTTTCATTGGCTCTCACGCTTTTGCTCGAATGGAAGGAGATATTGACAAGCAAAGAAAACTGATCCTTCAGGGACAATTATCAGAGGCAGCTCTGCAGAAGCAGCATCAAAGAAAGTAAGACAACCCTTCAGGACTGTTAGATACATAAGGACATCAGAAGCAGGAAAGGGACCTTACATCTGATGCATGAGCTACGTGTATACATAATGTATTCCAATGTATTTTTCATGACAATCAGTGAGGAAGAGATCGTCCTCACTTCGGAGGTGCAAAAACTCAAAGTTAAGAAAACTATCAGTGGCCACAGTTAATATGTGGTGAAACCAGTGTTCAGATACATGTCTGATTTCAGAGCTCCTACCCTGTCTACTATAATTGTAGTGCCTCCATAATACAGGTTTATATTCTAAAAGGAGAAATTAGGAAAAGGGAAAGGGAGTTATAAAGCTTTTATTTAGCTCTACTATGTTTATAATTAAAGCATAATCTACAGTTTAATTAAATTTAAAAGAGCTTTATTTCTCCCTGACTTATCCCAAGGACCTTATAAGACATCCAAACCATTCCATTTCTTCCATATGTCTTCCAAAGCAATTTTGAATAAATCCTTTTAAAAACATAGAAGCAGCTTTGTACTTTTGGGTAAGCTTTCCTAAAGATCCAGTCTTTGTAAAGCTAGCTGCTTTTAAAAAAGTCTAAAGAAAATTAAAAAAAAAAAACTATAAATATCTACTATCCATTACCTTATAGGGTTGATTGAGGGTTAGCACCTCATAGGGTTTTTGTGAGCATTAAATGAGGTAATGTAATGAGCTTTAGCACAGAACCTGGTACTTGTCAAGCTCTTAAAATTGTTCACTGTTGTACTGAGCAAATCATGGCTTGTTTTATCTTTGAACTTTGGTACTTGCCATTCCTTTTGAATGGGCTACTCTCATCCTTCAATTTCTATCCAGATTTCAAAAGCAATTGCCTCTGGAGACCTACCTCCAAAGTCTGGAATAGATGCCACCTCCTGTATGCTTTTTTTCCTACCCTGTTCTCACCCAAAGCATAGCATAGCATTTTTCACGCTGTATTATAATGATGTCTCCATGCTCTCTGTCTCCACTGATAAAGTGGGAGTTGGACTACATGATCTCTCGAGTCCCTTACAGAATTAGTATTTTGTGTCTCCTCAATCCTAGGTCTTCCTTTATTCTGATTTTAATTTAAACAACAAAAGCATATAAGCCACTAGGGGGCACCAAGGAACAGCTTTTCCAAGTGAAGTAGTCACAGTCAAATGATACTTTCAGTGGTTTCTAAACTTGGCCATATGTTTAAGATTCATCTGATGGACATTTTTCACTAAATGCGGTGCCTGGTCTCCTCACATTACTGGGATCTGGGATTCTTTAGTATCGAGTCTCTTTTGCACTCAGAAATTGTTGAAGACCCCAGAGAGCTTTTGTTTTTATGGGTTATATCTATCAATATTTATCACATGAGAAATTATTTATTTATTTTAAAATAACTGTTTTTTAATGAGAAAGATAGTGATTTTTTTTTTTTAGTCTTGCAAATTGTTTAATGTTTGACTTAATCGAAGACAGCCGGATTCTTATATCAGCATTCAAACTGCTGCAATAAGTTGTTTTGACTAATGTATATGAAGAAAATCTGACCTCACTGAGATTATAATTGGAAAATAGAGGAGTATTTTAATAGCCTTTTAAAATAATTGGAATATTCTTTGATACCATACCAGAATTTGATAAACAGTAGTGTTTTAAAATATAATTGTAATGCAGAATCTCAAACTGTATCCATGAATTTTTGAATTCTATTATATTAAAATGTGTTGTTCTGTACTTTGAACAGATTTTATAATAGGAATGTATAGCATGGCTTTATAACATGATACATTAGCTTTTTGGAAAGTATCGATTCATTGAATTATTCAGAGCTCCAAATATTGACACATTTCATTACACAGTATCAAAAAATTATATTTGTTAGTATTAATTTTACAGTATCACCAATCTCATCAGAAAAGTATTTAATATTAGGAACTGCCAAGCTTCTGATGACAATAAAAATGTTTCAAATATATATATATTTAAAGCTTTAAAGCTCGAGTTTTATCATTGGCAACAAATACTGTTGGTTATTTTTCTTGAAATGTCAGGGTCACTTTATTCATTTTTGGGAGAAAACCTGCCAAATGTTCATGTTGAATAACTATAGTTTGCCAGTCATTCTTTCAAGTAAAAATGGTGCTGCATGAAAAAAAGCAACTAGTCCAGCTCACAACTCAATCACATAGCAACTTTCTTCAAGGCAGCCTCACACTTCAATATGCAAAAGTGCTTTATGTGTTCTTCACATTTTGTCTTGCATTAATTTAAAAAGATGAGGTCTCAAGAACTGATTTAATAAAATTAATAATCTTTACTCCTCCTTCGAAGGCATTCTTAAATGCAGCTGGCCTTTTTTGTTTATTGGTGCCACTGCCTTGATTTGTGGTAAGGCTATTACCAGCTGTTTTTACCCATCAGTTGCTTTTGCACTATCAATGTAAATGTTCATGCATTGAAAAACTCTAACAATGTTATTGCAAAAATAGTTTTGATCTTACAACCTCCTAAAGGCACGTCAGGATCTCTTTAGGAGTCTACAGACTACACTTTGAAAATCACTGGTCTGTGATCTCTCACCAGTACTTTATAGTTAGAAGGAATTTTGATGATCATTTGTTAATAGTTTTCCAAAATGGGGTCCACAGTCTATCAGCATTAGAATCACTAAGAGTGCTTGTTAAAAATCTGTGCCCCACACCAAACTTCCTATATCAAACTTCCTGTCCTCCATGGAAAGGACTCAGAAATCTTCTTTCTAAAGTTTCTTAGATGATCCTTTTGGGCCCTAAATCACTGACCTAGTGTGACACCTTTATGTTACATGAAGTAAATTGATCCCACGGAGTGGCTTGCCCACAGTTACAGCTACTTAAGGAAGATCCTTCAATGTTGCCTCTGTAGCATATCTCCCTTCTCTACTCACCTTCAACCCACTTACACAAGCCAATGTTAGAGCAGTTGGAAAAGGACTAGAGACTTTTTATATTCACATACAAAGAACCACATAATTATCACCTTTCTCAAATCAGTCAACCTGTTCTCTTCTGTCCATTTTCTCTTTCTCTCTCTCTCGCTCACACACACACACACAAATACACACAAACTTAGTACATACCTAACTCATTTTTCCATGAAATGGTACAGATATCTGGAAGTTTTAAGTTTATCTTTGGGCTGGTTGCTGGTTTTGTTGTTGTTGTTGTTGTTGTTGTTGTTGTTTTTCTAAGTGAGTTGATTAGTTTTACTTAGTAACTTAGTTTAAGCCAGTATTAAAATACATTTATATTCACTGATCCCACACTTTCTGGAAAGGAATCCTATAGCATGTAAAGCATTATCCTTTGTATTGGTAGAGGACCTTGATCTTGAGAGTCACATTTGTAACACAGTTGACTTTTTCCATTTTGTTTAGGAAACAATGAACACTTATTCTACAAGAAAATATTCTAGTTGCAAGTACACAGAGATAAAGTACTCCCCATCTTCTGGAAGTCCATGAATGAGCCACACTACCTTGAGATGTCAGAGGTATTGAGACAGAAGTTCAGAACTGCAGTCAGGTTGTGTGTGTGAAGTCAACACATAGTTGCAGGCTTGGAGAAGAGCATAACCTATGGCTCCCAAAGCTATTTGCTTGAGTAAGGAGCTATGTCTGACCAAAAGATTTTTCTGATTTCCCATTTATGTGCCCAGTGTCTGTGATGATTGAAGATGAGGTCTTCTCTTGTATCTGTAAAGCAGAACTTCAGAGTGATGTTAAAAACTTGAGAAAAAAATAAACTTAATGGAGTTTATTTGAGCATAGTAGTATTCATGAATCAGACAGCACTCAAAACCAGAAGCAGTTCAGAGAACTTCACTATAGCAGCATGAGCAGCAGACTTTTATAGGCTGATTGCAGAAGCAAAGTAGAGAAATTACTTGATTGGCTACAGCTAGGCATTTGCCTTATTTGGGTATGATCCAGCTAGTTTGCCATTTGTGATTGGCTGAAACTCAGTTTAGTTGCTTTTTGTTTGTTTGTTTCTAAAATTAATCAGTTACAAGGGATTCTTCTAAGTTAAGTTGTGATATGGTTATGTAAGGGTTCCTGGTATAGAAACAACCCTAAGCTAATTGGTCTGTTGGTATTTTGTTTTAACAGTGATAACCAATTCTCAAAAGTATGGTCCAGGGAGGAACCTGCTACTCTGTTTTCTTCTCAAAAGTGTGATCCAGGGAACCTGAAAAACTATTTTTATAATGTGGCCAGGCGTGGTGGCTCATGCCTGTAATTCCAGCACATTGGGAGGCCAAGGAGGTTAGATTGCTTGAGTCCAGTTCATGAAACCCTGTCTCTTAAGAAAAAAAAAAAATGGCCAGACATGGTGGCGCATGCCTCTGTTCCCATCTACGCAGGAGGCTGAGGAGCCTAGGAGGTGGTGGAGGTTGCAGTGAGCTGTGATCACACCACTGTACTCCTGCTTGGGCGAAAGAGAGAGACCTTGTCTCAAAAAAACAAAAAGAAAAGAAAAAATCATAATGTTACTGAGGCGTATTTTTCTTTTTCATTCACATTCTCTCGCAGTGTTCAATGGAGTTTTCTGGAGGCCACTCAGTGTGTGATATTGCAGTAATTTAAATGCAAACGCACATATGAGAATCTAGCAGAAATTAAAGAGATTTGCAAGTTAAAAAATACAACTCTTTTCTCTAAATACAACTTTTTAAAAAAAGTTATGTTCACAAAATAGGTTTTTCATTGTTTTTAAATTAATGAATATTTTTAAAATTTCTCTTTTTATTTCTAATGTGAGAACTGGTAGATATAAATGACACAAACAAAAGATGTTTAAGGTCCTCAATAATTTATAAAAACATAAAAATGTCTGTGTTTTATATAGATATATTTTGGTCCTGAGACCAAAAAGTTTTTGATGGCTGTTTGTTGAGGAGTTTATGATATAACTAAGCTATATAGTCATCTGTTTGCATGCTCAGCTGTATTTGAGA